GTGGTTTTCAAGACTCTCATACTTTTCTCTTGAAGACGCTCCAACTCAAAAATTATAATAAAAAGCTTCCCATTCCCAGGGGAGGAAAACTGCAAAACACTGGCAAAAATAAGAAGTAGCTTTACATGAAAGATTAAAAAAAGAAGAATGAACACAACCATAAAAAAGACCTTTTTAGGAAGTCAGCTGCCTTGCTCCTCTCCTCAGACTCAAAAAAGTGTGTTCATTTAAAGCTTTCACGCTCTCGATGCTTCTTTAACATGTTGAATAAAAAGGATTATTTTTTTTATATATTTGACTAGTTTCTCAACAACCGGGAAGAACAAGAGGATAAAAAGAGCAGGTGTGTAACCAGAACAACGATGGTTTCAGTCCTTCTGGCACTTTAGACAAATGTGTGTTAGTGTGTTTGAACGTGAGGCTGGAAAAGAGCACAGCACTCAGCGGACGATTTCTGGATAAGTAAAGGTTCTCACACACACACACACACACACACACACAAACACACCTTCTGTCGACATTCACTCAGTGCCAGCGGTGTATTTTGCTTTTCCACAGATTGCAGTCGACCCCCCTCCCCCCCACCCCAAAGAGAGCAGCCCTCCTCCCACGGGGCTCCTGGTTGGCATGGATAGGCCCCCGAGATAGCTCCACACACACTTTCACACACATAACTGTCAAGCAGAGGGTGTGTGTGCATGCATGTGTAATGAAGAGGGTATGTAGAGATTTACAGTGTTGGCACTGGGTCTAGTCAAATGGGTGGATCGCTGCCACTCTCCCCACCAGCTCCTGATAAATGTGCCATGTTTTGTTTTCTTTGAAAAGAATTAGCAAAATGAGAAAGTAGCAGGCAGATCTCTCGAGGCGTCCATCTGTCCATTACTGAAATAAAAGCCGTCCGCTTAGAGAGGGGGGTGTGGTGAAGGGATTATAAGACAAGGATTTGACTTTGAGTACAGTGAACTCGAGGGACTAGATAGACAGATCGATAGAAAGAAAATCAGGAAGATCTGTTCACTTAATGACAACATGGATGATTTGTGCATTACAATTTTAATGTGAGGTATAGGAGGAGCCGTTTGCTGTTTTTATAGACTCTGCCCACGCTGTCAAATCCTCTTACAAAATCAGCATGATTCGTCTCCAACTCATTCATTAATCAGCAGTAAATGAAAGGAAAACATGCAGCTCAAGGAACCGACACAACTAATCATGTGACACTTGCAGGCAGCAAAGAAGCGTGCACTACAGTAGAGCTAAAACAATTAGTCGATAAATCAATTAGTTAGGAAATCTACTGATGTTTTGAATTAATCTATGAATGTCTGTCGTCACATTTTATGAGGTTATCACCCTAAAAAAATTTTAATTTCCATTCTCAAATGTTCCCAAACTGACTTGATACAAACAAAATGTTATGATATTAGAATTATTAAAGGCTTCTATCATGGTATATGTATTTTTATATAATAACAGGCCTATATATGATGTCATAGTAACCTTTTTGGAAATCCTAATGATAATAATAAACACACGGGAAACATCTTTTTACGAACTAAATTCAATAAATAATTAAACATTGATGCAAAGATTCCAATATTACCAATGGGCAGTCTGGCTCACTGATATCCAACATTGTACACAGTGCCTTAATACAGCAACAGATACTGAAGGAGAATTGACGTACTTTTTCATGGCACATCATCATACTGCCAAAACCTGTTTGATGCGAGTCTCAGACTGCTGACTACTAGGGACCCCAAAAATGTTTACCAGTGGTTGGAATAAGTCACCAGATAACCACTGTATCGAAAAACTTTAGTCACCAAAAAGCCACATTGTACCTACACTCACGTTAAGCTCAAATAGTGGCCGTTTTGGTGTTCAGAGAAGCTCTGCCTGTGAGAAGTGTTGGAGGTAAAGTAGCAATCTGCCACTCAGACTCACACATCTCTTTCTCTCCCTCACAGTCTGTCTCTCTCCAGCACTGCCACAACCTTTCAGCAATCAAATTAGCTGCACTCTCTTACCCAGAATATGTGCCAAAGGAATCAGCAGTTGGGCTGTAATTGCTACCAGCTAATAATGTTAACCTTTCTATGGCATATAGGCCCCTACTTTATTATCAGTATAGCACAGAACAAGAAGATGAGGCCTGTGTCGACAAACTGCATCCTTTCACACTACGAACTGGAATAAAGTGTAAGATGTCCACTTTGTTACCTGACCTTCTTAGACCAAATGCCTCTAACACAAGGATCATTATGTTCTTAATAACAAGGCTGTTCATTGAAGGGTATGACTCATACCAAAATGTGATTTCATTATAGCCCATATTTTGGTGTGTTTGTTCTTTTATTGTTATCTTATTTTGGACGCTTCTCAGATATCAACTCTTCAGCACAAACAGTTTCATTAACTGTTTCATAAACCTTGTGCCTTTTTTCAATTGGAAAAAAGGGCTTTTCAATTGGTGTTGCTTTTCTTAGTTTTAACCGGTCATTTCAACACTTTTGGGCTGAGTGCTGTTGGTCAAACAAAACCACGAACACATTTTTCACTACTTGATGACATTTAGTTGTTCAAATGATGATTGGATTTATTGAGAGAATAATTGTTGCTTCTTGCAGCTCTAATGACGTACCATTTCACAAAAATGCCGGAAACCCATACAATGCCTTACAGCCCAAACTTTATTAAATGAATAGAAAAACTAACAATAATTGCAACACTTTTACAAACTGGATATTAAACATTTCAAAGCACTGTTTTTCTTTTAGGAAACTACATAACAAGATTCTTCACCTGGTCAGAAGACAAGAGTGTCTTGTGATGTTCTGGCTGTTTCAGAGCCGATTAGCCATCAAACAAATAAACATGTCAGACTTCAATCTGAGAGCCCTAAAAGTCGTCACACGCAGAAATATGCCGAACTAACACACAGCCTGTATCAACACACACACAAACAGAGTACCCCATATAGAACTAAAGCAGGCTCTAATATCCAACTGTGAGTTCATTACTCTTGTGGCATTTCTATCTCCTGTGGTATCATTGTGATATTCTTACATGGATTCAAGGCACACAATAGTGAGCTTAAACAGCGTATTTATCATGCTTATTGTATCTCCATTGACTTTAGAATCATAGTATGCCTACAGGGGCTTAAATCAAATATCTGAATAGGATCCTTCCAGTGTTTAGGTTAAAATTGCCTAAAGCTCTTTTTCATTATAGGTTAACTACAAACCTTGAAAATGGGTTACACTTTTAGGGAGGGAGCAATACATCATCCTCTTCTGGTTTTAACTCCAACCCAGTGACCCACAAAATCATTAAGACAGCGCTAATTAGACTATATGCACGCAAAAGCAGGACACCAAGGAGGTGATGCTTTCCTTAACAATAGCCTATGTGAAGTCAGAAAATAGGTTGGAGCTCACTTTTATTGAGCAAAAACATATTTTTGTAGCAATAATCTCAATTAAAAATCACACATCAAATGATCAAGGGAAAGCCATTGTTGCCTTTTGTTGACACTGCTAGTTGTGATTCCTTATGGCTTTATGCTGATCACACCAACTGGAGCTCAGAGATTATCCAACCTCTTAATCTAACACTACATCCCTTCATTAGGGGGGCTTCTTACTAAAAGGCACCGCTAGCCAACTCGGGAATCAGGCCATGTCAGCTATTAGAAAGCAGTCGTATGGGTAAGTTGTTGGCAGGTCAACGCTCAACATCTGCACACAGAAGTGATTCCAAAAACAACCCGCAACACCCCGACTCTGCTGCCGCGGTGCTGTTTTACACGGCCGCTAAAAGCCAGATTAGGATCCGGAGCAGAGAGCAGAGGAAACCCGGAGAGGTTAAGAGATCAGAGGCAAAGAGTGGATGGATATAATCTTGCCATAACATCGGGATAGGTCAATGTAACCGGATTAAACGGAGCTAATGAAATACACGAAATGGGGGATTGGGCAAGGAGGAGTAATGCTAGATGGGAAAGATGTATGGATGAGAAAATCCAAAATAAAAGCAGACATGAACTAATGGGGAAAGCAGAGAGTGGTTAAGAACTAGCCTAATGTTTTTATCAGTTCTTCAACAAGACAAAGACTGACACACGCCGTGGCCGCTGCAGTTAATTGTCCCCGCAGAGCCAGAGAGGTGTTGTCCAGTCCTAAACATTTTTAAAACATCATAAATATGTCTTCATGCAAACTGCGCCGGACAAATCTCAACCGCAGAGTTCCCCACCACCACATTCATTCACGTTTCAACAAGTACCAAGGCAGATTTACAGGCGGCCAGTGGGTCATTTCTCGCTGCCGATCCCCGCCTAAACCTTCCCCCTAAAATACAAAATTATTTCCTCTGACATTTCCCCCAATGCAGCAATGCGCGCTCCCAAAAGCCGATTTCCAGGGAAGTGGAGGGGGAGGAGGTGGGGGGCGTCATGTTTGGAGATTGAGAACGCGCACCGCCCCCCACCACCACCACCAAAAACTAAACCCGGCGGCGCGCACGCGGGCACGGGCCGGCCTATAGCCGGGAAGCCGATTGGCTGTCGCATCTCCATCTGCACACGTGACATGCCCTGCTTACAATAAATAAACAGCTATGGAATAATGTATTAAAATGCCCCCACGGCCCCAAACCTCCGACACTCTGAATAAAACAAAACTTAACAGCCAACAGGTCACAAACTCAAAGTCTGCAGGTGAAACACCTGGCAACATGCCCTGCAGGAGCTCAAAAACTTAGAGCTGAATATTTCTGGATGTCCGGTGGGAGGCTGGCAGCAGCGCCAGGCAACAGCCGTAAGAAAAAAAATGACAGCTTCATGAGAGCCTATAGGTTTTTCATAAGACATTACAGCCACGGCTTTCTGCTCATACCACTCCAAAAACACAAACGCAAACATAGTTATCGACACCCTCCGGCCGCCCGGACCACGCCAACACACACGCACACACAATGTCAAGAGAGCTTACCTACACAGTGAATGAGTTTGTGCCTCCAAGAGTCAAGTTCCTGCCGAAAGCCGCGCCTCTCTACCGTGCATTGCTGCCTTTTGCACAGACTCGCCATTTTCTATCGGCCCCTCCCGTGGGCGCGCACATACTGCTGGGTGCTTCCCTGCGCGCACGTCACCGGTGGTTTTTATTCTAGGGCTGGGTGGAGTGAGATATGAAGGGGACGGGGCTGCAGCATCCTCCTTTCTATAGCGCTCGTTTGTCCCACCCACCAGAAAGTGGCCCCTCCACCTTCTCCTCCCCTTCATCCCTCCCAGCATCTCTGCGCGAGAATGTGCTGTCATTGGTCGTTTAATGGGATGTTTGTCTGTTTTAATGTTGTATAGGGTAGGCCTACAGCACATGGCGCCTGTTCTCCAAATTTGCAATGGCTCAAAGCTATGTGTGTCAAAGGGCGCGGGTGTGCAGGGGATTTAATGTGCATGAAGACATTTCATTGTTTAAATTAGCAGATATACATTGCGGTAGTAAATAAACTGTAGCCTAGATTATAAAGGCTGTGTAACATATACAAAGAGGCATTGTTATCAAAATGTGCTGTAGTATTATGATAAAAAAAAAAAAGCCTACAGCTCCTTGATGTGACTGTAAACAGACTGAGACCCCATAATGTTTCTTTAAGGCTCACAGTGTTTCTACCAGGAAACACTCAGTTCACCCAGTTACTACACCAATATTCATGTAGACTAATATTCTTATTTAGCTGATTTTAATGTGTTACGTTGCATTTCATTACTAAATACAAATTAATAAACACTTCCCCCAACATTAAGATCTAAATGCTTTTCAACATTTTCTCCAGGCTGCCAGGAATTCTAGTGGAAAAATAATGAACCCTGGTACAACTTAATAGGCCTACTGGAATCAGCGTAAAAATGTGTAAATTAGTAAACTCTCCAAGGTTGCCAAAACCACATGATCTCAGTGTCCTATGTCAAAAGGGGCAAAAAGCTGTCAAAATACGCTATCTATTTATTTAAATGAACATACACTGCATGTACACTACAGCTTAGCTGTCCATAGGGATTCACATACACACAGCTTGACTGGAAAACATATGCAACACAGCACCTACAACGGACTTCAATACCATAGCCTACAATATCATAAAAACTGAATGAAAACCAAAAGAGTTGTCTTTAAAAACTGTTCAGGGTTGATTTTAAAGTAATCCCATTCAAATTTAGTAGGCTATCATCTAATTTAGTCAATAATCAAAACTTGACAGTTGTCTGCTTTGTGATTTCTAATATTTATTATGTCAGACTTTGAATGCCTGTCTCTACCTTGATAAAGGTTGGAGATGCTGGAAGTAAGTCTAGGACTTTATCCCTCTTCCTCTGACAAATTAATTAGTTTAGTTAATCAACCAACTAAACAAACAGTGGTGAGATCTGCTGATTAGGCTACTGGCTCCAAAATTTTAGTTGTACCATTATATTTCATCTTAAAATGCTTGATTTAGAAGTGACATGATTAATGTACGAACTGCTATTACAGATTAATTGATTAATCAGTTGATCTACCAATGTGGAGGTCAATTTTGGCCATGGCTTATCAATAATGAAAAGTAGGCTACCTTTTGCTTAATGCAACCACTGGTTTCCCAAAATCAGTTTTGCATCATTTGGGTCAGCTTGCTATTTTTTCCCTGCTTCTTCTAAGCTTTTTAATCAATTAAAGCCTTATTGGCTTTGGATCCACATCGCCTCATTTAACAAACCCTCGCCACCTCAGTGCTGCGGGTTTAGCGCAAAGGAAGAACAATAAATCAAGTTCTATAAAGCTTTCCGAAACGCGGGTCTAATCACCAAATTGAAACATGAAATGACACAGTATCATTAACAGGAACCTCACAGCCGTTTTACAATCCTACAGAGACGGTGGGCAGCACATAAAAAAAAGGCAAGGGCAAACGCCTTAACAGTGGAGCACTCCAGCTAATTAAGTCGTTGAACCCGTTGCCCTCGACAAAGATGTCTCCCGCGGAGGGCTGGACAGCGGAGAAAAGTAGCCAATAGCACGACACTTTGAGTCGAGGTGGATGAATGGCAGCCAATCAGCTCGCCACACCTTGGAGAGACACTGAGGCAACTCTGCCAGAAACTAGCAGCTACGGAAAAAGCGAAATTGTCGCTGAGAGGAGCAGAAATCCTCCAACTGCCGCGTTCGTTTAAGTGATGTAGAGACAAAGGACTGAGTTACTCTTTAATAAAACAGGTAAACCGTTTATTTTCTTTCTGCAGGATAGCTCACTGTGTAGGCTAAGTGTGTGTTTCGGGGGCTGAAAGCTTCATGCCGGCAGGATGAAAGGGATTTGGGCGCCGTTACTGTGGCAACATTAGATGGAGGGATACACACTCCTCCTCCCGTCTAATCTGACAGCGTGGCTGATGGCATTTGGGCAATTATTCAGCCTAACAAACGGGCCTTAGATGTTTTCATATTGTGAAGCTTAATGTGTCTTTGATGCTCCTGTCGGCGGCAGTTTGTTTATAACCTCATTTCGAAACAATAGAGAAGGAGAGGATATCCCTCAGAGAACCACAGTAAACAGCTGATTAACAAATGAGAATGTGTTTGAGCAAAACTGGAAATTTAAAGTGTTAAGCCGCTGCAATAGACAGGAGATAAATGAGATCTCTTATCACAAACAAGAAGCCTAAATGAGTATAATCACACCAGATTTTTCCTGTCACACTATAGGGGCATTACCAATAGGTCATGCATAGGGTTGCACGGTCAGGGAGAACAACAGTGAAGCAGTATTTTAATAGAACATTAGCCTACCCTACACCATATCTGCCGTGTTATAGGCAACTGTAACCCTTCTACAATTTATGGTCAAAAGTATGTGGACACCTCTGTTCACAGGCCAAGTGTATACACACACGTGGTGTATAACGTCCATCAAAACAGCTGCACCCGTTGTTTTACATGTAAGCTGTTGGCATCTCGAGACTTGTCATATTGCAGGGGTTCACGTGTGTCCACTCGTCAGCATAGGCCACTGTCCTCAGTTATCAACTCTCCAAAAGGGCAGCAGTTTAATCATATTCGCTCCCTTGATCGCCACATTCCTGCTACTGTGCCATGACTACTTATGATGTGTCCAGCGTGTGCTTGAGAAGTGGTGACGCTACATGTAGCAAAGCTATAACTACATCACCCAGTAGAAATAGGGTAGTGTAATCTTTATATGATAAGTAGTGCGACCAAATGCTAGATTGCTACATTTTATTTTCTCTCAAAGCACAGAAAGGATAGAAATACTGCTCCGCCACTCATGCAGATTCCTTACCTGCACCGCCTTGTTTTCTGATTCAGGAGAGGATCAAGTAAGTGGGTTGGTTTGACCAAATGGAGCAGAGAGAGCGTGGGGCCGGGGCACACAGGTCATAGGAGAGCTGGTCAGCCTCAGCCTGACTTCAACCTCATCCCACACCTTAGGATGAACTCATGCTGAAACAATTTGTAAATTAACCAATGAGTCAATCAACGGAAGATTAAAGATCAACAATTTGATAATGGATTAATATTTTAGGTCAAACTTTTGCTGTTTCCAGTTTCTCACATATGATCATTTTCTAGTCTTCTGTGTCCTAAGTAAAAGTAACCTCTTTGGGTTGTGGACCTTTGGTCAAACAAAACCAAAGAAATGATGGGCGAGTTCTGACATAGACCTTAAAACCTTTCGGGTAATTGCAAAAAATAATTTGCAGATCAATCTTTACTTGCTGTCCCACTTGGAACTTCAACTGAGAGCCAGGCCTTTTGTGATTTTGTGTGTCATTAATGCACTCATGGCTGAATGGAAGCAAATCCCTGCAGCCAGGTTCCAAAATCTGGCTGCAGAATCTGGGCATTAATATTCCTGCAAACACACCACGTTTATTTCACGGTGGCTTGAAAGGTAGACACATGAACTCCCAGCTCTACACGTGTGTGTCAGAATGTCAGAGCAACAGATGATAAGCTCTAGCTCTTGATGATGGTTTTTGTGTATTGCTGTGTGTGCCGGCAGGACCCATGACCCTGACACGAGGTTCCTTCAGCTACTCCAATGGTGAGGAGTACCACGGCGAATGGAAAGAAGGCAAGACTGACCTGCTCACTCAGCTGTCCATCCTCCATCACTGGCTAAATTTGCATGCAGAACAGAAGTGTTCTTATAATGCCAGACAATTATATGCATGTAAGGCAGAGTGCATGTAAATACCATACTTGTATTTAAGTGAAGAAAGCTTAATTGCAGTAACATATCTGGAGTACTCAGTCTATACAGCTTAATGGCATTTCTTGATCTGAGGTCACATTGAGTATTTGCTCGGAGTACTGCACTGGACAGGAAGTCAGTGCTAGGGTTAGGTTGTAAAATAATACTCATGTAAACTGAACATGTTTAGAGAGTGCCTTGCCTCTGGTACTTTGTTCTATTTACACCTGCAGTCAAAACCAATGACTTATCAGAATCACATCGGTTATCAGTGACAGCAAGCTTGAATGTACATTAAATGCTGAAGTGTGTCTCTTATGTAGGTAGAGCATTAAAAAAAATAAATTTTTTAAGAACTAGCCTAATGTTTTTATCAGTTCTTCAACAAGACAAAGACTGACACACGCCGTGGCCGCTGCAGTTAATTGTCCCCGCAGAGCCAGAGAGGTGTCGTCCTGTCCTAAACATTTTTAAAACATCATAAATATGTCTTCATGCAAACTGCGCCGTACAAATCTCAACCACAGAGTTCCCCACCACATTCACGAGTGCCGTTTCGACAAGTACCAAGGCCGATTTACAGGCGGCCGGTGGGTCATTTAGGTAAATGGTCAATCAGAGAACCTGCATGAAAAAATATATATTAAAAAGTAGTGCATAAAACATCAGACATTGAGGTTATGGGTTTTTTTCTTGTTATGAATACACTTTTGTTAACATTACCAGGTGTACTGATGGTAAGCTATGAAAGTCAGTAATAGAAAACGTCTAGAGTTTGACAGTCAGTTGCAGCCTCCTTTCCAGCATGCTTGCATAAGTCTTCCCAGCAAGGTTAAGCAGTGTGACACCCCGATAATTGGAGGACACCCTCTGGTTTAAAAATTGTAAACCACTGTCCACCAAGCATGTCTACCAAGACAGCCCAACAATATCCAGAGCCTACAGCGTGTCAGAGTGAATCTCGCTTTTTGATTCATTCTCAGATCTCAGTGACGTTTGGCAGAGATTTGGGCAGCGCTTTCCCCAAGTATTTCGTGTGTGTGAGTCAAGTTCAGGAGTTTTTAAAGTGTTTCTTTTACAGCTACACATAGTCTTGTTGCTGGCAGGCCCACAAAACTGCGGCCCCAAATTATGCCTTTGGGTTGAACCCTACCTCGCCTGTTGTTGCTGTGTGTTGTGACTTAAAAACAAACTGTTGTGCAGTGTTTTGGTGTCTGATAAGAATTTAACCCTATTAATCTGTTACTGGATCATATTTCATGTCTCAGTGTACCTTAAACAACCTGCCCCCCATCCACTCGATTGTCAGTATATATGATAATAATTGTGCTAAAAGATAGTTATCTCTAGCTGCTTTTAAGGAATTACCAGAAGGATATCATGTTAGAATGGGGGTTCAGAAGAAAAGTAGGCGTACTGTACGAGAGTCACAATAGCAAAACTAGTCGGCTTTTAAATGAACCAGCACTCGCACAGATTGCATGCCATAGGCAAAAAAAAAAAACAGAAAAAGGTGTCAAACTGAAGTCAGTAACTATACAAGAAAATATACACATGCATGCACACACAGACCATCTGGTGACAGTGAGCCCGCTGAGACAGAATATCACACTACCTAAACTAGTATTTTCAGTCTGACAAAAACACTTAGACAACCTTTAGGGCAAGGTTAAACAAAGAACAAAAGTTTGGCACTAAGGCGGGCGTGAAGCTGCGGGGAGAAACATATGGTCTCTGGACGGTTAGCAAATAACTGTTAAACTGGTTTGGCTGTGATGCTCTGATATGCTCAGTTTTTAAAACACAGCAGTGTGGTTTTTAACACAGACATTTCTAAATGATGACTGGAGAAATAAGTCCACGAATAGAGCTGATGCAGCTCTGTGTTGGCTGTTTGAAACTACCAGGATTTCTTGGCATTGTGTTGACATTTTTGTTACATTTATTATCTTTTAAATACATATATAACTAACATAAATATTCAAACATGTAGTTGCAGTTTTGGAGCTTGCAGTCATATCACATGATCTTCATTGGATAGAGTTTGAAATGTCGATGTCCATTTTCTCTGAGCTCACTCATGGCCTCTCATCCATATTGGTGTAGAAACTGAGGTTGAAAGTTCCTTTTATGAACGAGCAGTTGAGGAAAAAAACCTCCCCACAAGGTTTATCTAGTCACTGTTCTGAGCTTTTAACCATATCACAGGATTTTTTGTCAGAAGATGGAGTTTGACCCTGTGTCATGGAAGTGTTTATGTTCAAATTTCAAAAGCTTTGAGATCAAAAACTTTAGAAAAAAACTTTTTAGCCAATGTGGACAAAAAGTCCTTAAAGTTCCACAAGAAATTCCATCTGAAGACCTTGTGATATGATTAAAAGCCGAGGTTCCCTCTTGACCCCTTGGGAACACAAATCTGTGGTTAAATGTCCTTAACTCAGGTAAATGTATTCCCCCCCCCCTAAAACTTCTTCCTGTATCTCACATATCTCGCACTCGTGTGAAAGTGAAAAAGGCCCTCACGCTTTAATGCTCCAGAAAAAAAGCAAACAGCTTAGAATGTCTTATGACACATTTTCTAACATTGTTCAGGAACTACATTTACTTTTAAGTGTTGCTGTTTTGCATCTTGAACAACGTTCATTCAGCCCAGTTTACATCTAGTTGTTCTTATTTTAATCTTAAAATATGTCAGATTTTATCATGAGAAAGATTTGTTAGACCATATCGAGATATTACTTCCTTTCCTTCCTGGTTCACCAATTTACTTGTAAATTGTTTTGCTTTTTTTTTTACCTGCTGTTAATAACTTTTTAATGAAGTATCTCCCCCTGTTTTTTTACAATTCTATGTGTAAACTGAACTAAAGTGAATGGAAGGGAATATATTTTGCAGCACTTCAAATACCTTTTCCTAAAACACAATTATTTTCTGGCATGTCCCAAAAATGTGTTTTCCCATTCTGTTGATTTTAACACCACATGTTGAATCAACACTGCTGACTCTGCTCTGTAATATGAAATTGTGTGTATGTGTGTGTGTGTTGGGAGGTGTTGTCATGAACACATATTGATGCGTGTCGTGCATTGTGTATCTGCATCCATGCATGTGAAGTCACTGTTTGCACACAAACATGAAGGTGTGTGTCGGACAGAGGTCTACGGTGTCACATGAATAATTCAGTGGAGCGTTGGTTGAAGACAGGGCCGTGGGCTATCAGGTTACAGGAAGTAGGGTGGGTACATCCACAACAGCCGATGCACAGCTAGAAGCCATTTACTACTGTACTTTGCCCATGCAGTCATTTAACATCTATGCATTACCGCTATTGATTGACATAAAAGCCGGACAAATTCAGCTAAACCGTAATTAGCTGGAGACCGTGACCCAACACGAGATTGGACAGAGGCGTTACAAAGGAGCTGAACGACAGATTAGAGTCTGTCTGGAGGGATCAAATCCAAACAGATGGGGAGGAAATTACTGTCCCTTGCTGCAGCAGTCCACTGATAATGTGTCCCTTCAGTAAAAAGTAAGCTGTTAGCTTGATAGCGGTCTGTAAAGCTCATGCTTTTGACACTTGATTTCATTATATTCAGTAACACCATTAATACTTTAACTCTTCTAATGTTTGATGAAAGGCACTGGCCTTGGCATTTGTGGCCAGACGGCCGGGGCCTCTTTTGGCACTCCACAGATTGTTGTATTTCAGCATCTAGTCCGTGAAATTTCTGCCTCAGGCTTGTCAGGGCTCCTGCAGGCTGAAGAGTTGGATTTTAAGCCCCCTTTGGCCTTCTTCTTTACCCATATATACTTAATCGAATCCGGCTTGCACACACACACACACACACACATCTGCACATATGGATGCGGGATGTTTCAGAGGAAGAATGGAAGAGAATGCAGAGCTTCAGATTTAGTTTTGGCCAAATCTCTTCTCCAAATCTCCCGTGAAAACCCTGCTGAGATTAGGCAGTGAGCAGCACTTTAAGCAGCCCTGACAGATGGACTGCCTAATTTACTTTGCCATTAGCTGGGAGCAAGGGACAACACTCACTAGGCTCACCCTTTGCCTCACCCGCTGCCAAGCAGCAGGCCTCCCGTCTTGTAAATCCCAACCCTCTGTTAGGGTTTCTCCCCTCATGAGATCTTCCTCCCTTCTCTCCTCTCAACCACTTTCATGCCACTTGGCAAGCTCACAGTGAATCCTCACTTACTATGAGGAACCCCGGACCTCCTCAGTCCGTGTCCAACTGTGCCTCAAATGCAGTTATTCTCTTAATTCCTGCTGGGCCTGCTAATGGAGGTTGGCAAAGAGAAATGCTTACTTCTTTTCCTCCCGGTCTACTTTGAACGTCATGCTCCTGATTCTGGAAATGAGTCGCAGAATTAGAGGGAAAATTGGGTCTCATTTCTGTGGGAACATTTTAAGAGGCTTAAAAAATTAAAATCATCATCTGTTTTCTTAAATATTTCTAAATCAAATCTAAAACCAATTTGTTTCAACCTTATAAAATGTTTTACTTGCATTTTTGGGTTCATTGTGTGTGTTGACACTAACCATGTACGTCACAAGCTGTAGAAAAACATCTGGGATATCACCCACATACAGTATTTCTGAAGGGACGTGTTTAAGCACGTGGTGGAAGATGGTGCAAAGAGGAAATATTTAGAGAAGATGCTGAGATCAGATGACAAACTGCAACACATAATCCTAAAGTGCACAAAAGTAATACTGGAAAAAAGTACTGGATTTTTGAGTTTTATGCTGTCCTTTTAAAGTTTAATGCATAATAGCAATAGGTCGGCCAATATTCATTTTTAAAAACCTAATCACATCCCTCAAAAATGTATTATTTCACAGATATTCTATAATAGTTAACTTCTTTATCAGAGTTTAACTTTTTTTAATTGTTATGAAAAATAAATAAAAACATTTAAACAACAAAACAAAAATCACACTTGTTTTGTTGTTTTTGTACATTTAAATGAAACCTGTAAAACATGAATCTACTACTATGTTTTACCAATGTGTATACAAGATATACACATTGTCATACTATATTTTTGGCTGTACTTTGGATACTTGGGTAGATGTTCTTTTTTGGCATGCTGAGTCATACTTTGTGATTCTTTGGGGTTTCATTTTTACTTCAGTATTGTTCTGTTTTATTGTACTTTTTAATTTGTAATTTAATTTTTTGTTAAATTAATTTTGTAGTGAAATTTTGTATTATATTACTAAGTACATGTTTGTGGTACTATGCTTTTTATGGTTTATGTCACTAGAAGCATTTATTTATTTGTTTAAATAAACTGAACCTAGTCTGTCAAAAGCAGTTTATTTAAACTAAGTGTGTGTTTGCTGCTGCAGGTCTGCGTCATGGCCTGGGTCAGCTGACCTTCAGCGATGGGACGTGCTACACTGGTCAGTTTGAGAACGGCCTCTTCAATGGCTGTGGGGTGCTGGTCTTTCCTGATGGTTCTAGGTCTGTGCTCTACTTCCTGCTTCCCTGACCTTTGACTGTTTAAAATTAAATCACTTTAAGAATATTAGAATGGTTGATCTAATGTTACAGAAGTCAAATACCTCTTCTGCTTTGTCATCATCTTCTGCTTTTGTTTGTTTAATTTTTATTTAGAGAGTTACTCTCAAATATATTGTATATATATATATATAATATTATAATATTACCTGGCAAACATTTTGCTTGGCCCTATCACAGCTACGCAGAGCCCAAGTTGATGTCTTAAAATGTCATGTTTTGTTCAATTAAGAGTCCAAAACCCAAAGATATTCAGTTTACACTGATATGACACAAAAAGATAAATTCCTGAGCCAGAACCAGAAAATGTTTGGCCTTTTTAAAATTTTTTTTTTTGCTTTAAAAACTAGAAAAATTATGAATTGATAGTCGACGATAATTGTTCTGCCAATTAACCAAGTGTTTCAGCTTTAGTTAACTTTTTCCATAAAAGGCCCCAACTATGCACTTAATGTCAGTTTGAAACCCCTGACCATGGTGCACTGTAGGGCTGCAACGAAAGATTATTTAAATCATTCGGATTATTCAGTTGATTGTTTTGCAATTAATCGATTAACTGTTCAGTCTATAAGATGAAGATGGTGAGTGTCCCAAAGCCAACAATGTTATAAAACAGCAAAAGCAACAAATCCTCATATTTTAGAAGCTGGAAACAGAGAATGTTTTGTCAGGAGTTATGCTAGAACCCAGATGCAGACATGGAGACAATGCAGCGGTTAAACAGAGAAGCAGGGAATCTCCTTCCAAGCAGTGGAATGTGAGGGCTGGCTGGTGTGGCTGGAAAGGTTGGATCTCAGCGTTGAGAGATTTGGGACTGGCAGGCAGGCAGAGCAGGTAGAGCAGGTGATCTGGAGATAGGCAGAGAAAAAATAGTAAAGGCAAACTAGTAACTAGATTTACAGGCTTAGAGCTAGATGCTAAAGTAGACCTACGGTACACGACTTAACAATCCGGCAGGGACTGGAAGTCAGGTCTCTCCTTAAGAAGAGGTAGGGATGGCTGATCAGGAACAGTTGCGTGATTGCCAGCAGGTGCAGCCAGTGCCAACTCAGGAACCCAGACATGCCCAGGATTCAAAAACTGAGAGAAGGGAGAGAAGAAAAGCAGAACAAAAACACACCAAGCACGCCTCACCTAAAAGGAAAAATCTAATCAAAACACACTCACTCAGTCCCAAAGTCAGGTGAGAGACGCAGGGTTCATGACATGTTTGTTGTTTTTGTTTGAAACATTGTTAAATTATCATGAATATTAATAATAATATATAAGTTTCATCATTAACATACATTATATTATGAAATTAAGATTAATGTTGTTCCTCAAATGTAAGTCATTTAGGAAAAAAGCGTCAGCAAAATGATAAATAGAGATCATTCGTTTGTATATATGTAGTGTGTTGAAGAAATCCTTCGGAGTTGCGCTTTCATCTCCTTTACATTTTGAAAGTTTTTTCTTGCTGTAATGTTGGCTGTGGATCATTCCAGAGCAAACAGAAACATCTGCTTCTTTTATTTATTTATTTTTCTATCAGAAAATCATTTCATTTAATGATGTGACCCTAACACATACAGAAAAAAATCCTCCCCACTTCAGATTTTCTGTTTTTCAATTTTGAGTTTTTCATCAGTGGTGCCTGTTCAAGGCCATCTTTTGTATTGTTACTTGAGAAAAGACTGTTTATAATTCTTCATGTAATTCTTAAAGGGTTTTGGAAGCAATAAAACATTTTTTTAAGGTGTTAATGAATATACAGCAATATTTTGAGTATCAAATAGACTTGATAGGAGGCTCTGAAAAGTTTGTAGCTTGCTGCTTCACAGAGAGCAGCTGGTGCAGTCAGCTTCGATTCACAACTAGAAAACGAGTGTTATTTGAAAAAGAAGAGAATCTCCGGTTGAACTGTTGGTGTTTTGGGCATCAAGATGCAGCTGAATGTTGTTGGTTGTTTTGCTGTGCCAGGCCAAGTATGACTCCAATCATTTTTAAATCAATTTGGCTTTAAGTTAATAACATTCTATTATTACTAATTATTATTATAAAGCAAGACAGTTTGTGCATATTTCCCTGTCGATGTTTGAACACTGAAATGTTCTGCTCTCTGGTGGCAGTTCAGTCAGAGCTATCACTTTGTGGCTGTTTGACATTCAAGTGTTGGTACATTGTATTCATCGTGTTTGTGTTAGATTTTTCACTTTAATCCACAGTATTTTCTCTCAGGTGTCAGTAAAATTCAGTGGAACTGAAAGCTCTAAACTTGTAATATATACAGTGACATATGTACATACATGTAAATACATAAAAAAATGTATAGATGTACAGTACCATAGATGAGTTTGTTGTGCTGCATCACATACTGTATTGGCTGTGTTGTGATATTATTATCACTTTGTTGTATCTTGAGTTCCTTATGTTGTAGTTATGTCTCTTCTGCTCTGCAGCGTTTCTGTTTACTCTAATTTACTGGTTCTACACTAGCAGATTGTAGAGTAATAAAATTTATAAAACTGCAGCTTTGGTCACTTTTTAGGTGTGTGATGGTGTTTTATATTTTCCTGCTGCCTTTCTAAGGTTTAAATGTTTAAAGCTAGGGCTGGCAATTCATTTCAGAAGCATGTATCTGTGGCTGTCACAGGACTGTGATAAGCACGGCCAATCATAATTTTATTCGGGCCGAATGAAATTAATGTCTAGCCTACCTGTCTACCTGTGTGCCCTGCACATGAAAATGGGTTTTGGGGGAGTGTCTTCAGAGGGAGGCCTGAAGGGAGTGGGTGGGATTTTTTCAGTTGGATACTTTTAAAATCCAGCTGCCCCTTGCTAGTTTCTCAGAGTTGCTTAGCCTCGCTTTAAGTAAAGTATTCATATTTTTCATTTTCATCTAAAATTCATGGAAAAAATACAACAGTCAAACCTCAGTTATGCATTCCTCATGCTTTTGAAAAAAGCTCTTTTCCTCACAATTCTTAAATTAAGATGCTCTTTTGTAGCTAACTTTTTTCTTCTGTTTGTGACTGTTTCTGTAGGTATGAAGGTGAATTTGTGCAGGGCAAATTTCAAGGCGCCGGCGTCTTCACTCGCTTCGAAGGGATGAGGTTTGAGGGCGAGTTTAAAAGCGGCTGTGTGGACGGCTACGGTAAGACTTCACTACTCAACTCAATTTCCTCAGAAAGTTACAAATTAAACCAGAATGTTTTTATTCTTAAGATATTGTTGTAATAGTTAAATTTTGAATGCAGCGAGGCAGGTGATATCTCACACATCACTGGTCTGAAGACACCTCAGATCCAATTTGGATAAAGCTCATATGGATTATGGAGTATTCTGGCATTTTAAAAAATGACATCAAGCATTCCTAATAGTCATTCTATCATTGGAAAGTAAAAATGTAGAACTTTAAAAGGCTTATTGTAACAGAGGGATCGCGCATCGGAAGATAACATTTCTTGAGGTTTGAGATTTCATAACCTCAATTTGGCAACCTTTGACTAGAGTTTTTGCTGCACTTTAATGTTTTGTTCAGCTTTATGCTTTTTATAATTGTGTCACTTCTCACAAATGAAGAAAAGTTTTCAGTCTCACATTGTTACAATGTTCGCTCTGTTCTTAGTTCTGATACCAAACGTTTTACATACTTTTTGATTATATTAAACTGTTAAACATGTTAATTGTCTCGTTTGAAGCCCCCAGTGTGCCTGCACTCAAGAGTCTGGAAGTAATCAACACATTTTTATTTGAAGGCTGCTGGGTGGCCATGGCAGAACAATGGATCAGTGTGACAGCTGACTAATTTTTGTGCTTTGTAAAAATAGAGGTGAAACATGAAGATTCCTTCATCAAATCAGAGCTGGGCCAAGTGGTATTTTTTAAGGAAAGGATTCACTCCTAAATGTTTTTTATGCAGTTTAAGTTCAGGTAACAGTTAACCCTAACCCCTTGTATGAAAGAAACATGTACTCAAACAGAAAATTATGGTACTGAAACACTTTCTTTCTTGACAGTTTTTTCAGGTTCATATTCTCTTTACTCCTGTAGCTTCAAATCTTCGGATTTCTTAAACCTTCTCTCCTAAAATGTATTGTTATATGCAAAACCTTGGCATTAGCTAATGCAAATTGTAGATCACGTGATATCACCATTTGTTTTCCTTTATATACCATCCTCTAAAATGTGAGAAACAGTTTTATAGTTATGTTAAGGGACCTTGTTAAGAACTTGTTTAAGGTTAACAAACAATTGTGGTTCACTGATGAAAAAGTAATTACATCCCTGCTTGCGCTTTGCGGCAGCGAAGACTTTCTTAATACATTACTATGATCTTTTCCTAACCTTAAAGAAATAGTCTGACATTTTGTGAAATACACTTATTTGCTCTCTTGCTGAGAGTTAGAAGATCAGTCTCCTCTCTCGTGTCTCTACGGTAAATATGTAGCTGGAGTCAGCAGACAGTTATCTGAGTGTAGCATACAGATTGAAAATGGGGGAAAAGCTTGCCTGGTTGCCAGTGCACAATGCATGTTTTCTTCAAAAACGAAAATATCTTGTAAATGACGTGAAGACTTTTGTTTATAACCAGATCACTCAGGTAACCTGATTATGAACAATGCTACTCCAGTATCCCAGAATATATTGTGTCAGCTGTTTGATGAAGTGAGGTTTAGTATTTGTTTCTTTTTATTAAGAGCACTAAGTCTGGTTACTTTAAACATTTTGAAAAGGTGCAATGGCCGATGCTGATATTTAGGGAGCAGAGTGGCTGATATATAATGCCAAAATCTAAACAAAGTATAGGATAGAATAATTCTATTATTCCGTGCAGGGTATGATCTAAAATACATTATCTCAGTCAGTAATATGATGTTTTAGATGGATTTTTTTTATTAGTTAAATAAAAAAATACATTGGGTTCTGCTGTAGATTTCATAACATGACTGGTGTTCAAGGGAGAGTGTGGTACAGTTTGTCAGAAGTGATAACATTCAGCTGCATTATTCTCTAAGGTATAGTATGTATTTAAAGCTATCCAGTAATGGATTTAGATTTATGGTAGGCGAAACATGTTAACATTTAAAAACAATGATTTAGGGCTCAAAATGAACTCTTTCACCAAAACTCACAAGGAGGAGCGCCAACATCGTTCCACAGCAGCCACAGCAGACATTTTTTGTTTATCAGCCTTGTGAGTGCAGGAATCAATGGATGCGGATCATCTCAGAATGCCAGATATTGATCGATAAATTGATTTATCACTTACAAGGATTCTGTCTGGTTCAGGAGTGCTGACGTTTTCGGACAGAGGCCCCGGCGGCGGCGGCAGCCATGAGGGCCTGTTTGAGACCAACCAGCTGGTAAGGAGGGAGAACAGCCAGGGAGCTGTGCAACGAGCGCAAGCAGCAGCCGCCAAGGCCCGAGCTCTGGCCATGTGACCTGGACTACATCAACCACAGTGCCCCACTACCAGGATCATCCTCCTCCCTTCATCCTCCTCTTGGTTTGAACAGCTGATTATTATTGATGAAGAGATTAATTTAATAATTTTCTTCAGTTTCCTTGTGATGCAGTTTGTTTGACTCCTTTAATTTAACATGTAAAGCATTTTTTAAAGATTTTTGTGTAGCATTTTTTTTAAAGATTTTGTTCTTTCACATATCATTTTCTTTCTCACATCTATACCCTGCAGTATTCTCTGGAGCAAAAAACAGTGGCTCCAGTAAGATGATATGTAGGGGCTGTATAGAAAGCCACTGATTCAGGATCAGTTGAGCCGAACACAGATTAAACACACTGGTGCTAAATCTGCTTCAGGCTTATCTGACCTGACAAAACACAACTCTAGATTCAAAAGTGCAAAAGATCTTTTTCCAGTAAACACTGATTTGGTGATTTTCACGTCCAGACATCTGTTTAAATTGGGCTAAATTTAGTTAAAAGGTTTCAGTTTTTCAGAAATCTAGTTTTGATAGCATTGAATCCACTTATCAAATCTGAATTCTATCAAATCCCTAGTTGAATCGCTTATTGATTCTAATTAGGTTCAGTTTTAAAGTTATGAATTACTAAAACTCAAAGAATGAATTTAGGCCTGTACTTATATTTTGTTCCCTCAGAAGGAAGAACTTTTTTAGTGGCAGCCTAATTAATGTTGAAAACTTGTGGCTACAACCCGAAAATGAAATGAGGTGCATAAGATAAAAATGTGTCTGACGAGTTGAAATAACAGCTGGAGCTTACTTTCTTCGCACACCTTATCATTAACAAGTCACTTGCTGTAAATTGTGGAGGTCCCAATTAAAAACTAAAAAGTTTATATCATGTGCATAAACGATTCTGACTCCTGAAACTGCAGTGACGAGATCTGTGAGATCGTTTCTGTAGAGAAGAGGCACCACTCTGTTGTTCTGGTTACACTGCAAATACTGTAGTGAAGGTGGGGCTTTATTGTCTATTGCATATTAACCAGACAACAGCAAGAAATACAATTTTAGCTTGATGTAGTTTCTTACACAATTTACTTTAATTAGTGACGGCTAATATAACCTGCAGTTGGTGATGTTTTGTCATTTTGACCTGAGTGTGTCATATGCTGTACAGATAGAAAAGGCCTTTGAGGCAAAGTAATAATTTGAGCTATATAATTAAATTTTTGTGTGTAGGTGACAAAGAGCGTTCGATTTAGACCGAGCATGCACAAATTTCAGTTTGTCTACAGAAACAGCATACAGTGCAACAAATGTGGTGGAAAGATTTTCCAAAAATTGAATGAGGGAAAATAAATTTGAGCAGGAAGTTATTTTATTTAACTAAACTCTTATCAAAATAACTGGCACTTGTCTCTGTTTTCCCTATAGTTAATACCATATTATGTTCTTTGCATAAGACTTCCTAGGAACTTAAAAACTAAAATGTAAAACCTGACCAAACTTTCTTTTCAACTAAATATAGACATCAAAATATATTTTAGCCCTCAAATTGCCAAATGAGTGCTTACTGGGTTTCCTGCCTTCCTGTTAAAAGACACATTTGTTCTGACATCTTGACCTCTTATTGGTGCTGTAGTATTTAAATATAAATTGTTTACGTTGAGTTAGCAAGATGTCAGATGGGTGTAGATCTTGGCTAAAGTAAATGTGAGTAGTATATTTTGTTGTTTTCTTTCACTCAGTGCCATTACAGCTCAGTCTGATTACAGATCAGTGTGAAAATCCCCCTCAGTGCCAACCACACAGTGCCAACAGGCTGCAGCTGATCCAGAATCAGTGGCTGTCATGAGAGTGGATGTTGGGGAGGATGTGGAGGATGGGGATGAACAGCTGAGAGGAATGGGAGTACAGGCGGTGTTGCAGACTGCAGTAATGAGTGCAATTTCTGTTTTGGAGGTGCAATTTCATAATAATGTGCAATTTCCGAAAGAAAGATTCCCGTTCCAGCAGGTTTTACATTCGAAGATGACAAACTGGCTGCATTGTCAGCAAAAGAGGCTTTGTTGGTCACAGAGATGCTCGTCTGAGAAATAGAGACTGGGAGTCAAAAGACTCTCTGAACCGCGAAGGGTTTCATTCCAGAAATACATGATCACTTTTTCACATGAAATTCAATACACTACTGTCTTGTAGGCAAAAATCTAAAGATCATTTGTAATTTTTATCAGGAATTCATAACATGCTTTACCTTAATGTCAGGATCAGTTTACCAAAACAAGACTTGATTGATGATTATTTCAAATGTTTTTTCATGTGTTTTTGTAATGAAACTCTTTCTTTCACCTTGGGAGGCAAAAATGCTCACGTCCACTTTATACAGCTTGTTTTTTCTACTTTCCACATCCCTGATTAATGATGTCACTTTCAATGTGTAGTGTTTGTGTATAAAGCACCATAAATTACCCTACCCCCCTCAAAAGAGCAAAACAAAACAAAAAAAAAAAGTGTGTAAACATCACTGTTGTGAACTTAAAACTTGTGATAAGCTCTAACTAACACATATTTCATGCATGTTGTGCCTGCTGGGAATCAGCATCTGTCTGTGTAATGAGACTGGTGTGTAGACGTGCCGTGTGTGTGTGTGTGTGTGTGTGTGTGTGTGTGTGTGTGTGTGTGTGTGTGTGTGTGTAGTCATGCTGTTTTGGGTTGATGGGTGGGTGGGATATTAAATGGGAAATGGAGTTAATTGTCGGTTATGTGATTATCTCAGAGTGCGATTAATTTAGGATATGGTTTCGGGGGCTGATGTCTTCCCCACTGACCAATTTGACAGTGACAACGAAAACTGTCGGAATGATAGAGGCATGTCACACCTTTTAATTGGCTCTGGGATTCAAGCAGAGACACTATTAAATGGAGCTGACTGTTGCCTATAGCTGAGGTGGTTTTCAGACCTGGGGGTGTGATATGCACTTCAGTAATCTGTCAGTCTTAGACACGGTTGTTTTTTTTTTTTACCATTGTTCTTTATTTAACGCTACGATCCCACGTTCTTTCACAGTTTGAGAAAACATTTAGGGATCATGTAACCCTTTAAAACGCACCTTAAACTCTCAACTTGAAAAGTTGCCGTTTGATATTAACATAAAAGCAGCAGTCGTCATCTGTAACACTGTCCATAGTCGATATGACTGATTTCATGTTTCACTGTGATGAGTATCCATGATGGAGGATGGTGCAGAAATCCACCCTAAAACAGAATTTCCTTCCACCTTGGAAAGGCAATTGATTAAAACCCGCAAAAAGCAAGGTCTCAAATGAGCTGAGAATATTTCTGTCAATATAATTTCTTTGTGAACTCTATCATGCTGAATATAGAGACACTTTATCAATCTGCTGTATTGACTAAAATAAGAGAACGGCTCAAAGCCAGGTATACAGTGGAAAGCATCTTTTTTCATGGACGTTGGCACATTTTCTGCTTCAGCTGTTCGAGCGAAGATGAAACAAAACAACCACAGGAGACAACCAGGAAGGAGCCTCAAATTTAAATATATTATCAAAAGGGCAAAATGTATACAGACCTGGGCTGTATTTTTAAGGACAGGACACAACTGTAATGTTCACAAATATTCTGAAAGATCATTGGAATAATATTTGAATTGTTTATTTGTCTTCAACTCATCCAATGTAATTGTAAGACTAAAGGAACAGTTCCAGATTGGGGAAATAAGTTTATTTGCTTTTTAGCCGAGACTTATACCACGCTCATGTTTGAAACAGCCGCTTCCAATCTTTATGCTATGCTAAGCCACTGCACTCTGGGTAAGAAAATAAAGTGTCTATCTAAAATTTCAGACCATTCCTTTCAGCTTAAACAAAGGAAGTGTCCATATTTTTAGAAATTAATAGTACATGCCAACCTATTTGGCTCCTATTTGGATTACACAACATAAATATGTACAGAAAGATGAAGTTCAGGAAGTGATTTTCTTTGTAACAACTCATTATAGACGTGAAATGAAACTCTATCTGAAAATTCTGTTTTAGAAGTGATTTCACATCCTGGGAGACTTAATGCCTTTTAAATGGGTTATTTTAACAAAACATGTCGATTTTGAGATGCTATTTTTCGTCTTCATTCTATTATTGTTGTTTTTTTCCCCACATATCTTCATTTGAATGTAAAATTAGATTTTTATTCTCTGTGTATTTCAAGAGGCAAAGCCTGAGTCTGTGTTGAGAAAGAACTTCTGTCACTTATTCTACACACATGAGGACCGGAGATGTACAGTAATCAGTCATTATTTTCATTAGTTCCAGTGTTCACCTCTCACTCGCTTTCACACACAAACACACACACACACACACACACACACACTCAAGCCTGTGCCGGCCTTCATGGCATAAACAAAACCAAACACATTAAAATAATCACCACTATAATGAGAAAATAAGGAAAGCATGGCTCTAGAAATGTTGTTCAACAAGTGAACTGGGGGGAAAAAAATGTCATGAACGACCCAGAGGGAGTTTAACAAGTGCCTGAACAAAAACCTTATTCTACTGTGCTTTGAATACTTTGAATACTGTTTGGCTACGACTGTTTTACAAACCGTGTCACAGATTTTTTTAAAGCTATTTGTCTTTTTTCTGCGTAACGAAAAAAAGTAAGAAAAGCAGTGTGGGGGTGGAGAACAGTGGTCGACCGGTATATCACAGTCTGCTGAGATTACAGCCTGATGATTCGACCCACTCATTGCTTTGGGCTCAGTTTTGGGCAGAACAGCTGATTTCAAATATTTAGAAGACGGAAAGTAAAACACTAGATTTAATTAAATCTTTTAAAATAATAATAATAATTTTACTTATTATTGAGGAACTGTTTTGATTTTCAACAACAGGAAAGAAGAAATGGGTCCAACAGGTCCCACATTATCTAGCAGTCACAATTTTATTTTAATATACACCACAACTCTAAATAAGAATAAGATTTACCAGGCGGAGGGGGTCTAATTAAAGACACTATTGAGTTGCATCATAGGAATTGTAAGATCCTCTGCTGCTAGAATTTTGACCAACATTTCTTGTAGTCCTACAGCTGTATAGAAGTGCAATTCTAAATTGCTGGATAACCATTTTAAAGGGGATATTTGTTGAGCTATTAAAAGACTGATTAAGCTCCATATAGTACTGGACTCTGATTGGCTGAAAGGAACAGCTCTGCAAATTCAAATTCAGTAATTGTTGATCCAAGGGACCCAATCAGGACACAGTCCACTGATAAAATGTTCACCTCAGTTAATGTGAGAAATACATTTTTGAAAATAGAACTTTATAAATGGAAATCAGTTAAAGGTTATTCCCGACTTAGGACGTGACTCAGGTGTCATAAATGACATACTGTGGACAGAAGTTTAGAGCTCTTATCAAAGAGATGATTGTTTCTGTTCAGTCAGGAGATTAATGATCAATTTCCAAATCTTGAATTTAGCTTGGAACTGCAGATTTTTTCATTTAAAGTAATCAAAAGCTAGTGTTACATATATTTGAACATGTAGACAAAGTGGACAACTGCACCTAAACTACTGACAGCTGAACATACCTTTTAAAAAATTCTGGTAAATAAAATCCAGATAATGTGGGACCTTTTGAACGAACCCTCTGACACACGTGTTGTATGTTTCACACGGGGCTTTGTCCCTGTTTTGGCACCTTTAAACACACAAAAAAAAGCATCTGAACACTGAAACCTGAGGCCCGTTGTTATCACAAAGCCATAAAGTCACTTGTCGTCGTTTCTGATGAATTTGTTGATGATGTTGAAGATGATGATGTCACGGAATAAGTGGAAATGAATCCGCAGAGGAACAATAAATAAAATGCATGAAATTCAACTGGTATACAAGCTTTTTCTTTTTCTTGTGTTTTTACTGAGCAGAGGTGCGAGAGGCCACGGGGAGACATGAAACACTGAAACAACGGAACAATGAAAGGTACACAGAACCACAAGTCAACACACATATGGAGGGATTTTGAACTCTGATCACACATCTCGGCAGGTCTAGTGATTATTTGTGGAGCTCGGCTGTCAGAAACCCCCCTCCTGCTCTCCCCCTGCTCAGTCCTCCCCTCCCCCCACCCACTCTCTACTGTCACTAAAATAGCTTTAAGGTGTGTTTAGGTTGGACTTTAACCCCTCCGCCTATTTCGTCTCCTTGGCAACCGTCCAGAGTTGCCTTAATTTGTATCATCTCAATCTCAAGTGCTGCAGCAGTTTTGCCTATTTGCCCCTAATCATGGAGCTTGTTGCCATGGCAAAGTATTTAAATTTCTGTGCAGATCATCTTCACCTAACACACCAGAAGTGGCAGCTGTTTATGTGTGTATTCTTTTGTTCCGTTCACTAAAAATTAATTCCTTCATCCCCTGAACTCGTGGTTCATATCTGACTCTCTTTCTTAAAATTCATTTTCCAAAACATATGATTTCGCATCGCTCTTCTGCTGCTAATTCCACAGGGAAGGGATCTCCTATTTTCTATTTCACGCCTTCCTTAAAGAGAGAAGGCTTTGTCTGTTATCTTATCAGTGAAGCTTCACGGCTCCCAAAAGCTTTGGCCATGTTTAGAGAGGAAGTGCACACCGCATACTGATAAGAGAGGCCTGGCACTGCAGGGACCCACACTGTCACTGCACAATCAACTGCAAGAAATAAAAACTGGCAGTATGATGGGGGAGGTGAATTTTGCAAGGTTTTAATTGCTATGGATTTCCACCACTCACAATGGCACATTTGGGACTTTGTGTATGTTTGAGTGTAAACATGCATGCATGAGTGCGTTGAGAGAGATATATAATAGGTGTATTCATCTGCTAAATAAAAATTTCAGCAGCTCTTACTCTTCCACTCTTAGCTGCTGCAGCTCAAGGATGAAAGGTGGAGGAGGGTGAGATGGATACACCAGACTGATACTAGCTTCTTCTTATTAAAAATCATATATCAGCAGCTTCTGAGAGTTTTAAACATAAGGAAATTAAAAGAAAACATGAGCCTGGTTTGAGTGGAGAGTTTTAGTGTCAGAGGATGGTTTAAATGCTGTTTCAGTGTTTTTTAAGATAAAGGTTATTGGTTCAGATCTTTGAGTCTCCAGTGGCCTACTGGTGTAAACACATACCACAAAACTGCAACATTCCCACTTAAATTCTGGCTTGGGTCCTTCATTGCATCTCATACCTATCTCTTTCTCTCACTGCATTTCCTGACAAATTGAGATATGATTAAAAATCCTCAAAAATCAGAACAGTCTGGCTTATTTTTTCTCTCTATATGATCAAGTCAAGTCTTTTACAGTTCTCCTCAGGCAATTCATCAAAGCACATCTTGATTTTAAGACCAGGACACATTAATTTTATGGTTATATTTTAACATTTCAACATGCCACCGCTTTCTCCCTGCAGGTGCTCCAGGCACAAAAGAAAAAGAAAAAAGAAAAAGACTACAGCATGAGCAGATTGAAGGAGGGCGAGAGGGATGGAGTCATGTGTTAATATTGGAAAGGAGGAATAACACTTGAGCTCAGCTAACAGACCGGAGGAAAGGAGGAGGGGGAAGGGATGGGAGTTAACAGAGGGATGTGAAGACATGATCTACATATTCAACATTTTGATGCTCAGATACATCTCAGCAGCTATTTTGCGAGACACGTTGGAACTGACTTTTTGTTCTTCGGCTCGAAGGTGTTTGAACTTCAAAATTAATTCAGCCGCATCTTACAGTGTAGTTGGAGGGTGTGATGTTTGAGACCCAAAGGTCTCCAGTTAAGAAGTGGTAAGAACTGCACCTCTAAATTAAAAGTCAAATTTAAAATTGAGTTGACTGTGGGTATAGAAACTGGTCTTTCTACATCTTCTACAGTGGATTTGTCCTTGTGTGATTTTTGAAAAGTAGTGCTAAATGGCAGCTCTTGAATGAAGGCCTTCCTCTTTTGTGCATTTTCAACAACCCGTTTTCCAGAAACCTTTACTGGAACTTCTAGCCCACCTAGTTTATTACGCCGCTGTACAAGCAAGTAGTTCGAGAACAGTAAAACCAAGAACTAAGCACAGTAACTAAATCAGCAGCAAGTCCCTTTTGCACACCTGGTTCCACCACATCTTGAGAAAATTAGGCAAATTAGTCCGATAACAGATTAAACAAGATTAAGCGCAGGCAGCTTTGTGAGGCCGTGCTTAGGCACAGCTGTGCTCTGAGCTATATGCTAATATCAGCATGTTAATGTGACAATGCTATCATGTTTAGCAGGTAGGCCTATAGGGCCCTATTTTAATCTCACAAAGCTCAACGACTAGTACAAAGCGGCGTGTCTTGGGCCCACGGACCGTGTGGGTGTCTCTAAGCACTGATCTACTGGCTGAGGAGTGTTTCATTAAATTAGTTTACTTACATTTTAAGTATTATTCCATGACTGTTGCACATTTACAGTATTTTGTGCACCGTGTGCTCTGCGGTGTTCAATATTCCACAGGCTGTCAAAGTCAGGGAAATGCCACACGGTTCGGCACGCAAATAGGGCAAAAACGACCAGGCTTTAGCAGAACTAAATGTTGCTAAGAGTTCAAACACAAGCCGCTTGACCGCTACAACAAGTGTACAGCATTTAGACTGCAAAAAAATCTTTAACTTGCCAATAAATCGTTAAATATTGAACAAATGGATGTACAGCGAGAAGTTGATTGCAGTATGCTGCAGGTGTAGTTTGAGAACAGATTTTTCCATTCTGCCTTTGCTTTTTAAAGAGTAATTAAACAGTAATCATTTCTTTTTTCAGGTGAACTGGCAGGTCATTGTAAGCATTTGAACAATCAATGCTGATTTTTTTGTCTCTGCTGAGGACAGTCTCTATTTGAGGCAAGAAATAGGTCATGCTGCTCAATTATGCTTAATTTTAGATCTACAACGCCCAGTTTAACTAGCTGTTAATCAGGTTGGCGCTACCTTTGTCGCGCACTGCTCCCTGTAGCTCTCTGATTGGACCGACATCCAGCTGCCAAGCTCCATCATGACCAAACTCTAACTGTGAAAACTGAGCCTTAAAGACTAATCTGTGCAAGACATTGTGTTTTCTGCAGTTGGCCTGTTAATGGGCCCAGAAATGCTACATGCAGTCTCTCACCTACATCTGTTTACCGATTTTTTTCTCTTTCTGCTTTTTAACATCTGCCACCATCACTCCTCAAACTGAACAACTGTTTGCCTTTGGGTAAAAAAGCCATTTTGTTTTGTTTTCTCTTTGACCTGCACACAGACCATGTCATCTTCAGTCCCCTTCCATCTTGTACATGATTTTTTCCTTACTTCCCTCTCTTGTCGTTGTGTCTCTCAGGGATAATGACGGACAAGCTGGACTGGATGTGGGTTGAGGAACACAAAGAGTAAAAAAAAAATATGACCACGTCCACACTAAGCTTACTAAATCTGAAAACGCTGTTTACGTATATTCATGGAGTAATCCACATTATTAACACCTGAATTGGACAACAAAACTGTTCATGACTGCTAACATATGGTCAGGAGTGGGACAGACAGCTGAGTGTCAGTTGGTTTAAGAACAATTTTTATTTTTGTCAACAAATCCCATGAAAAGACAAAAAAACTGTTATATCTGTGAAACTCAGCTCAAAGCTTTTTTCCTACCAAAAATGTAAATATTTGAAACGGGTTGCAATTCCTAAATTTGCAGGTTCCTAATTTTGTATTTTTAAAGGTTTGGTTAATGTTTTTAGCAAACGTGATTCAAACAGGAGGAAATTGTGCATTTGATGGGGACTATTTCCAGCAGCGGATTTATCCACACTTGGTGCTCTAGTGAGCATTTTTGGCAGCAGGATATGTAGGTAAGAAATGTCACCCAGTGCAACATTGTGGCTCATTTTAAATAGTTTTTGGACAACAATGGAGCTCTATGGCACAGAGGAAGAAGATATATCAGGCTTTGGGAAAACACACAATACTATAGGATCAATCCATTGTTGGTTTTTGTCTTTTCATGGGATTTGTTGACAGAAACATAATTATAGATAATATCACCAGACTTGTCTTTTAAATCTCTGCTCAGTCTCCTGCTCCTTGTGATCGCACATACTGTTTTACAGACAAACACACATTTACATATTTTTCAGTTTCTGTTGCCAGACAAAAACAATAATTTGATCGTGCTGATTATAAATGTTACCTAATAATCAGACAAACAGCCTCTTCAAATGGGTGTGATGTGAATATTCACATGTAAAATGAGTGATTGAAGTGAGGATTAGAGGTAACAGAAAGTTTACTGCCAGGATGTCCCTGGCTGTCTCTGAGCAGGTTTTTACAGTATCATCGTTTATCTCAAACACATTAACAGTTAACAGACGCTTGCGTTTTCAAATGTGTGGAAGGCTTAATAGAGAGCAAAAGATTTTATATATTTACAGAGTGGATGTAGTCTTGGAAGGTGTGTATGTGTGTGTGTGTGTGTGTGTAGGGGGATGTGGTGTGAGTCAGGCAACCACAGGGAAAAAAGAAGAGAGGAGGAGGGAGGAGGAATCTGGGAATGTTTTAATCTTGGTTTTAATCTGGGTCAAAGACAGAAAGGGAAGTGGGAGAGAGGCACTGAGCATTACATGCTACACTACACAGAGAGGTCACCACATCATCGTCTAGGGGGCTGGGATTCATAGAGAGGAGAGAGAGAGAGGAAACTGAAAGAGAGAGTGGAAAGAGATGATGGAGGGATCAGGAGGAGGAGGAGACAAACGACAAACTGTCAGGTGTGGAGGGATGATGGAGTGCAGAGGACACAAGAGGGGGAAGAATGCGTGTGTCCATGCCATCGTCACCCTCCTTCCTGTGATGCTGCAGTGCTGAGGGCAGCTTTTGCTGACTCGCCACTCATCCGTCCCGGGAACAGGAATAAGATATACTACACCCCTCCCCCTGTGTGCCCACCAGGAGTGTTGGCATCACTCGGCTCCCGGGTCCAAGGTCCTCTATTTGAGATCAAAGGGATGCCTTTGATTCAGAGCAGGCAGTGCAGGGGCAGCACGGTGGGGCGTGTCGCCTCCATGTGGCCACTTAAAGAAACTGCAACCCAGGCAACGATGAATGAAACTAATTCAAAACCAGAACAAAAGTTTTTTAATACAAGGAATAAAAAGCTTCAAATGATTAAATTGTATTGATTGGGCTTCAAATGGCATTAGGGTCACAGGGGGGCGGATCTTTAAATAATGATGTTAGACCTTTTAATTTTCTAAAACTAAATCCTTTTAAGCCATTTTGTATATTTACAATGGTTCTTTGGCTCTATGCATGTGAATCACATGGCATATCCAGGTCAGGTCCAGCATTACACTCATTGTGAACTACTACATTTGTGTTCCACATGACCAGTAGCTTGAGGAAAGACGCTGCTTTGCTGTTTGGTGCAAATTTCAGTTTTTTTAAGATAATATGTAATCAAAATATGATATGATAGTGCATGCTAAGGCAAGCATACTGAATGACACTAAAACACAACAAACGAACACATGGCTAGAACTGGCACATACTGACATTTTCATTTAGGGGTGTACTCACTTTTGTTGCCAGCGGTTTAGACATTAATGGCTGTGTGATGTGTTATTTTGAGGGGACAGCAAATTTACACTGTTATACAAGCTGTACACTCACTACTTTACATTGTAGCAAAGTGTCATTTCTTCAGTGTTGTCACATGAAAAGATATAATCAAATATTTACAACTTGTCACCTTTATGAGATACTGTATACGTAAACGTATAGAAACCCTCCAGCATACACCCCTGAATACGCAGCCGACGACCTCCAAGATATCCTAAACCACTTCAGATCTATGATGTGGGACCTTAGCGGAGCTCCTCTTTTGAGGGGTTAAGATCAGACCCATATTGAGGCTGCTAAATGCCTAAAATGTGATAACATCAGTTTGTATAGAATGTATTTTATATTTTCAAATTACAAATTTATGAAAACCAAATATGGCACCATAATATTTCAGCCACAGCACAAAAAAACATGGCCCAGAATACAAACTGCCAAACGGTCCACAATAAGAAAGATCGCCCACAGTGAAGGAGTCAGTATGCAAACACTGATTAAAATACCTTAAATCATGGAACAACCAACATAAGAGCAAAACCATTTCAGGCTGGAAATGTCCTTGAAAGCCTTTGAAAAACAAAACTATAAGATGTGATTTACTGAAAATTGGGTGGGTAGTGATTTCAACATCCTGGTTGTAATTAGAGCTTTCCCTCAGGAGTCTTCCTGATCACACGGGAACACAAGAAACACACAATGCATCTTTTCTTTATGATCTAGAATCTTCTTTTTTTTTTTAAGACCTCCAATAAAAGGGTTCTAATTGGAGTCATGGTTAGATTAAAGCTAAGAAACTGCTATGAAAAAAAGCTGAAGGCTGTCATTGCCATGGGTACCTGCTATACTTTTAGGATTTAATTACCTGGGTAATTTCAGCTTTAACTGTTTTCACATGTGCAGTAAGGAGTGCTCTGGTAGACAATAAATGCCAAAAAAACACAGAGGTAGGTGAAATCAGCTATTATTAGTAATACTGTATTACTATACAGTATTGTTACAGTACAGTGTAAGGTTACCTCCCCCCTCCCAAAAAAAGAACATGCCCATTGACAAATCCTTTTTATACTTGCTTCTGTGAACAACCAAACACCAATCTGTCTGTTCTTAACAGTTAAGTTAATAAAGGGCAAACATATATTATTTAAGTGAAATGCATGTTTTATTGTCAAAACAAGTGCACATTCAACATTTCTGTCATAATATTTCTGTAACTTTACAGTTTACTGCATTTTTGTACTGAGGTGCAGCAGAGAAGCAACTTGATTGTATGACGCTGATTTATTTTAGTGTAATTTCTTTAATAACAACATGAGGAGTGGGCAGGGAAGTTGTTTTTCAGAATCTATAGTTTTCTATCATGTTTTTTCATTAGCAATTAATACCCAGTCTAATACGACATATATGGATGTGTTGTGGCTGTATAAAACATGGACGTTGTTTCCGTGACGTCACCTATAGGTTTCTGAAGAGCCATTGTGAAGCTCCAGGCGGCTCCACCGTTGCCATCTTGGCAGTGCCTGAGTCTGGCTAATCAAAAACTGGGCAAAGAGGTGGGTCGAATGAAGCCTGGTTGCTGAACCATGTAGCTGCTAGCCACCAGAGAGGGCACCCACTTTCCACTCAAAGTCCTTAATTATGCACAACTTTAAGATTTTGTTATAATTAAAAACAGGAAACAGAAAATGAAAAAAAGGTAATGCCTGCACACTTACTTGATAAAAGTTTTTGATATTTTCTTGGTGTGCCCTCCCTCCCCGTGTCCTATCACACTGACTGAACACAACTGAACACACACATACACTCTGCCCAGGTCACCTCACAGCCAGCCGTTGGAGGAGAAGTCCCGCCTCAGCTGCTGAGTCTCTGCCTCTGTGAGCGGCTGAAGAGGTGATCGACAGGCACCTCCGTGGTAACCAAACCACTCCATCGCCTGCTTGAGGGCGGGAACTCCCAACTTCCTGGTCACCTAGCAACACAGAGCTCCAATCAGTCTACTTCAGTCTTACTATCTGTGATCGATATTTGGCTGCTGAGCTACATCCAAACCGTGTGTCAACTTGATATTAGAGTGAAGTTGGATTTTCCTGGTGCAGCGTGTGGGGGTGTTAGCTTGGTAGACTGATGCTGTTAGGGCAGTGACATTTAACACACCTTAACAGACACATTTGTAGCCTGAAGCTAATTATTCAGTGCTGTCTCCTCGCACATCTCACTCAGGCTCAGAATGGCACCGTGAACATACAGCACACAACTCTGACATTTAACTTTGTGTTGTGCAGTGCCATCCTCTCATTTGGTGTCTTTAAGTTTCATTTACTGTACAAATTAATTCAGCGCAAAGACGCATCTTTTTCTAGAAGTTTTCCAGAAGAAAGAGTTTTGAAATTTACAGGATCTGGTGTTTCATAGTTTAAACTATTTGTTTACAAAAGCATTCACCTTCTTTTAAAATGACCATGGTATGTTTTAAATATTGCACTATCCACCATCTCAGCAGATATAAATATATATATATACACTACCATTCAAAAGTCTGAGGTCACCTAGAAATTTTCTTATTTTTGAAAGTTTCCTTCAATGAAGATAACGTTAAATTAATCAGAAATACAGTCTTGAAATGTGCAATTATGTTAGCACAGCTGAAAACTGTTGTACTGATTAGAGAACCTGGCCTTCCTTTGAGCTAGTTGAGTATCTGGAGTATCAGCATTTGTGGGTTTGATTATACTCTCAAAATGGCCAGAAAAAAAAGAACTTTCTTCTGAAACTCGACAGTCTATTCTTGTTCTGAGAAATGAAGGCTATTCCATGCGAGAGAAATTGCCAAGACACTGAAGATTTCCTACAACGGTGTGTATAACTCCCTTCAGAGAACAGCACAAAGGGGCTCTTACCAGAATAGAAAGAGAAGTGGGAGGCCCGGGTGCACAACTATGCAAGAGGACAAATACATTAGAATCTCTAGTTTGAGAAATGGACGCCACACAGGTCCTCAACTGGCAGCTTCATTAAATGGTACCCGCAAAACGCCAGTCTCAAACCACCACAGTGAAGAGGCTACTCCGGGATGCTGGGATGCTGGCCTTCTAGGCAGACTGGCAAAGAAAAAGCCATATCTGAGACTGGCCAATAAAAGGAAAAGGTTAAGACGGGCAAAAGAACACGGACATTGGACCGAGAAAGATTGGAAAAAAGCGTTACAAATCTAAATTTGAGGTGTTTGGATCACACAGAAGAACATTCGTGAGACGCAGAACAAGTTAACAGATGCTAGAGGAGCACCCAACGCCATCTGTCAAGCATGGTGGTGGTAATGTGATGGTCTGGGGCTGCTTTGGTGCTGGTAAAGAGGGATATTCGTACAAGGTAAAAGGGATTTTGAATAAGGAAGGCTATCATTCCATTTTGCAACGCCATGCCATACCCTGTGGACAGCGTATTGGAGCCAATTTCCTATTTAGGGAAGAAGCAGTCAGCTGGTATTCTGTCTGTAACGGAGTGGCCAGCGCAGTCACCAGATCTCAACCCTCCTGAGCTGTCGTGGGAGCAGACCGTATGGTACGTAAAAAGTGTCCATCAAGCCAATCCAACTTGTGGGAGGTGCTTCAGGAAGCGTGGGGTGAAATGTCTTCAGATTACCTCAACAAATTGACAGCTAGAATCGTAAAGGTCTGCAAGGCTGTAATTGCTGCAAATGGAGGATTCTTTGACGAAAGCAAAGTTTGAAGGACAAAATTATTATATCAAATAAAAATTTGTATTTCTAACCTCGTCAATGTCTTGACAAAATTTTCTATTCATTTGATGAATAAAATTGTGTGGGTGACCCCAAACTTTTAAATGTTAGCGTATATTTCAAATTTTCCAAACTACAGTAAAGGTAGATTTTACATCATATTTACATGAAGGTGGTTTTAATTTAAACATTTTATTTGTTATATTAGGTTACTTTTTATCAATCACATCAATGCCTGATGTAAAATTGGCATATGCAAATAACCGGGAAGGGCAGAGTGGATTTTTGTTGAGTTAAAGGTCATCAAATGCAGCCAAAGACCCATCAAATCCTTAAGAATACAAATCTCAATAGTCCAAAACTGCAGTTTCTAGCCCAAAACAACTGTAGCTTGTCTTCTCCCACTGAGGATTAATGCAACCAGTGAGATTTCAGGCTCCAGATCAGTTCTACCTCTCAGAAATGTGACTAAACCTCCAGTCTGTCACTATTTGTGCGAGTCAGTCTCTGAGGAGCGTTTGTTCTGTGGAGGCTAAAAGTGTCCACCATGCAGCAGATGGTACTCACAGCGGCGTTGGGCTCGATGAGGCGCTGCTGTAGGACTTTGGCTTCCTCCCAGTGACCGGACACACACAGACGCTCCAACTCACACAGCTCTCGGCCAAGCACGTTAGCCAGCGCACACACTCCGCCAACAGCACCTAGACACCCAGATCACAATGGAGAGTTAAAATACATGTATTTGTATGCTTTTTCACCCTCTTTCCTTTCAGTTTTTTTTATAAAATGAGATGTTCTTTCCCTTTCATGTGATATAACCTGTCTCGACAAAAAGAGAAAATAAGACAAAGTCTATAGTCACACTAGCAGCTCTGTGAAGCTGCACTTAGGCACAGCAGTGCTTTGAGCTTAATGCTAATAGCGGCTTGTTAACATGCTCTCTAGCACCATTTACTACTGCCGGAAACTGTTTATTCTGTTTGTTACTTTATTTATCTATGCATCTTATTAATTTTTTTCCCTATTTATGGTTTTTCTAGCATTGAGTAAGATAAGTGCAAACCTAATCTCGCAAGCATGCTAATATTTACTAATTAGCGCTGAAGACAAATAAAAATTTTGTTTCATATCAAGAAGTTGGCCTGAGAAATCAGGTTTGATCAGTTTGCTGGGTGCAATCCATGTGCTTAGTATGTTTAGAATATTAAATGATCCACCCACCAATCATGCACAGAGCACTAAAACATTAGCATGCACCACAGCAAAGTAGATGAAGCACTTGAGTTGCCTAAGACACTGGAGGATTTCCTCAACAGAGAATCATTCATCAGCTGTAGCTTTCACTTGACAATGTGTGGACAGAATTCAGTGTTCAAACAACCAAAAGTAAAATGGAGCAAAGTGAGGTACGTATGTTTACTGCCTGAGTTTAAGCTGAACACATATTCCTCTTAAATAAAGCCATCCGCCGCTCAACAGATCGTTTTTGAGATCAAATTCCAGCGTTCCATCCTGTCATTTTTCTGTCCTGACAGATCAGTAGCGCTTCTTATGATGCCTGTTTTTTTTATTTACAGAGATAAATACATGGGCCTATTCATTTTCCCAGGCAACATGATATCAAGGCCTTTCAGTGTGACATCTCAATATCTGTGTCTGAAAAGCAGTCAGCCTCCTTCCGTGGCCTTGGAGTTGTTGTTGTGGATAGACAAGCCGGCGGCTAGTGATGGGCAGATTTTGTCTGATTTATGTTTCTGTGGTCTGCTGCCGCTCAGATCACACAGCTGACAGCAGCTTACCTAACGCTGCGGCCGTGCCTCCTCACTGCACTGCTAGCGACAGCTCATGAACAGAGACACTATTTGATTGAAAATGTCCAGGAAAGTGGGAGAACAGATTTCTAAGCCAGAACCAACTGAAACAGATTTCTACTAATGACACGTGGAAATAAACACATTCACACAAATCACACTAATTAAATTACTGTCATAATCAATTAACACTTTTCCACCTTTAACATTTATCTTTCTTTTGCAGATAGTCCACCTGAATAAAAATAGATTACGTAGAACCATGGACATTATCTGTCATGTGTTCAACTTTTGTCACATACTGGCAAGATAACATTACTAACAACAAAGAATAAATGGAGCGCAGAGCCCTTACACTCCTTACAACACTTCCACTGGCTTCTCTAACTCAGTCTTTCTGAGAAAGTAAAATTTGTTCATGAGGTTTATTATCCATAAAACCTCATAAACTAGTACCTACTACAGCACTATCTATTAAATGCTTTAACTATTGATGATTTTCATTAAACTGATTTGTTTAAATTAAAAAAACATATATCTCCCATGAAGTTTTACCAGCATTGCAGAACAGTGGTTGTTAAAGCTAACAACAGAAATACTGAATGTTCCACATTTCAGCAAGGTTGGAGGCTGTATGTGTATAGTTATGCGTGTTATTATGAAGTTCTGGTTTTTATCTGATGATTAAAAAAAAAATCACTGACACATATAATTTAAGATGCCATCATCACCTGTAGTGTCCCAACAACATGTTTATGCACAAACCCTAAACAGGGTACAATTTCCCAAAATTTTATAAATGTCCTTCCATAATAATGACTTCAAGAGCTGGATAACACTTTGGGCTTCCACATATTTCTGTCAGAGAAATAGAAAAACCATGATAACAGATATTTTGGTTTGAATCTTGTGATCATTTAGTAAAACACAAGCGCGCTAAATCTGCACATGTTAGATGTGAGTGAACAGTCTTAAGTATGCAATCAAAGCTCTTTCTTGGGAATCTCTCAGAGGTTTTGACTGGCACTTTCAGCATCATTTTGGGGGATGTTGGGAGCATTAATTTCAGACTTGAACACACACTCACAGCGTGGACACATTTTCATATTAATCACTCACTGGCGTTCCCTTACTCTGCATTAGCTGTGTAAGTCACTCACACATCCAATTACTCCCATATTTCAGTTATGGAAATGAGAGGATGTCAAAGAGCAAAGATGAGAGAGCTGTGGGAGTGTGTGTGTGTGTGAGACAGTGGGCGAACATGACTCGTTAGGTTCCTTCTTATCTAAGCTTACAGTAACATGCCCGACATACTAAGATTTTTTATGATTTACTGCAACTTCAAATGAAAATGAAAGATCACATGCGTCCCAACAGAATGTCTCAAGTAATGCTTTTGCCAATTAATTTTTATAGTGAAATTACATTAAAACTGCTGCTTGAGCGGTACAAAATCTAAAAATCAGGACCTGTTTAGGACATGTACCCCCAGCAACTAAATATCTGGATGATGTCTAACATTTTGCAGTAAAATCCGAAACAACTACAGGAAGTGTTCCCAGAATACAAGTGTTCATGGGTAGAAAGAAAAACTTGATATTTGTGAATTATGTGGACATTTCTTTACATTTGTAATTGTGCAGTGAGACCTTTTGATATACAAAAAGACAACAAACTCAACTTCTCCACTGGTTGCAGATAAAAAGATAAGAAACAGTAGGGGAGATTGCAGCCTGGGGGATGGGGGGCTACAGAACAGTGAGGAACAGCACTGTTTTAGGGATTCTTACCGACACTATAAGCGGCCATGAGAAACCCTGCTGAGCCCGCCAACATCTGGAAATCCTGCGTTTTGGTTTTGTGCACAATCAGGCCGATCCGTGAGATCTGAGAAACGGGTAAAAAAGAAACAGAGAGAGAGAGAAGGAGGTAAAAATCTGGTCTGTTTCATTGCTATCACTCCTCCCTGCTGTCAGGACTAATATCTGGTGTTGTTTTTTTAATCCCGGGAGAGGCTGTCACAAGAGACCATGACAAAGCCAACGTCTCACAAGGTAAACAAATCGCTCAAATTGAGATGAGCATTGGCTCTTCACACGGTGGAGGTTTTGGGAGGAGGGGTTTTTCAAGATCCAAAAAGGAAGAAGAAGAAGGACGAGGAGGAAGAGAAAGAAAGAAGAAAACAGACAAGTCCCAAGTGAGAAAAAAAAAGAGGAATCATGTTCAAAAGAGGAGGATGGGAAAGGCTCATGAATTATTAATAAGCTCCCTATTTTGTTTTGCCTCTTTCAATTCTCTTTTGTCAATCTGGATATGAAGCACAGAATCCAAATAAACCTGAAATATTCAAAGGGAGTGTAAGACAACTCCACGGCTGCTCAGCACATGAAGCTGAAAACTCCACAGGGAAAACCTGCAGCCTCCGGTTTCAGTCTCCATCACCGTTACCAAGGAGGGTCTATTTTTAACTGCCGGCTGTCAATCAGTTTCCCCATATCAGTCATTTCAAACACGCAGGACTGTAATTGATCAGTCAGTCAATCAGGTTATAGGAGCTCCTGCTGGTCTCCTGAAAGCTTGAGTACTCTGGCTATTTCGATACAGCTCCCCAATGGGAAAATAACATCGCAGCAAGGGTACTGTCTGCCCCGGTGACAGAAAAACACTCATTAGCCTTTATTTTTAAGTCCCATTATCTTCATTAGTGTGCAACTCGAGAGCATAGAGAAACTTAACCCTCTACTGAAGATTGGGGTCTTGATCACCGCCACCCAGATATTTTGTTTTTTGTTTCCTCGCGGCAAGAATGTGCAATGTGGGTATAAAAGCACCAGGAAAATAACAGACTTCAGTTGTAATTATTAGCTGGCAACATAAGCATTCGATATGCATATTTGCATTAACTGTATTAGAACATATAATATATACGGAACAAAATTATAAACGCACTTTTTTGTTTTTGCCCCCATTCATCATGAGCTGAAGCATTTAGTACAGGATGAACTGTAGTCACTTTTATGACTAAATAAATGCAAAAATAACAATTTCCCTATCAACCTCTGCTGTAATTTGTCTTTTGAAACACCCGAACCACTAATCAGCTTCCTTTCACACCTTTAGAATACAACATGTACCTGTGACTATTTTTGCCTGTGAGAATCAGTACTTAGAGCAAACATTGACCATTGACCAATAATGTCCATTATTGAGCATGGTGATGCCTTTACAAGTAGCCAACAGTACACACAACACAACATTGCCTTGAGGCAACAAAAAATCAATAAATGGAGTTTATATATAACAAGAAATACAAACAAAAATTGAATTTTAAAATTGTTATAAATTCAATGTAAAAAGAAAGTTCAGAAACCAGATTGAATTGTTATTTGTCAGCCAGAACAGACTGTGAATGTAGAGACAATGTCTTTAAAGTCATTAAGCTTGTCATCTTAAATCAACACCTGGTTTTTGTAATGATGAAAAAAATAGCAGCATTAGTTAGTGTTTCATGACTATTTTTGTGTGAGCTGTTAAAACGTAACTAGAAATGCTCCCGGCTCCCTTGCAGGGATAAATAATAGTAGGCGTTGTAATTATTTCACTTAAGTGAAGATAATTGTTTGGATTGAAAAGACAGGTTGATTTTAGTCTGTGTGCACAGGAGATGATGCCTCGCCATAACGCTCACTGAATTCACATGTCTGGCACATGCAGGAGGGGCACAGGCTTAAAATAAAAACACCCGACGATGTGTGCGGAGCAGGAGGAATCATTAGAGGAGATGAGGTAAGATGAGATAAAATTTTAATGATCCCTCAGGGGAGAATTGTTAAAGCAGTAAATATCTCAGCTGCATGACAAGAACATTAAAAGCAGAGCGAAGTGCCTTATAGAGAGTTCATATTGAAGACAATTAGGAAAGATTGGTGAATGACATAAGTCTCAAGCAGGATTCAAACCCATGACATGACTGAACCTGCCAGCTGAGCCTCTCGGATCTTCACAAATCTTCATCTGTTATCACTCTCAGTATGTCCTATTCACTTTTTCACAAATGGCCAGTTCCACATCTGTCAGATCTGACTGCTGTCACTCTCTGCCGATCGTCAACACTGAAATGTCCCGAAGGTGCACACTTGTGCAGCAGAAGGTGTAGATTTGTGTTTGTCTGTTGTTTTTGAGCTTTTGAGCACTAAGTGTGCTCCAGTAACTGGCCTTGTGTATTGAGATGTCGAGTGAGCAGCATCAATAATATTTTGGATCTGTGTTATGGTATGTTCAAAAGACGCATGTAAGTGCATCCACGTTGGGCTCGTCAGATCAACACATAGCCTAGCTATCACAAATGTCACGGCAGCGGAGTGTCCGAAGTATCTTTATAGTAATAGTGATAACACTTATCAGCCGGGAGGAGCTAATGTTATGGGGGAACCAAGTGGCAGCCAAGAGGTAACAATCTTTCATCTGCTTTATTTGGTGACATGAAAAGTGTCTCTTTTCTCTCCTTGTCCTTATAAATCCATAATCTGTACATTCTGTATATTAAATGTTATTGTGATTGAGTTGTTTTTGAAAATGAAATGCTATTAGATATATAGGCTCAGTGTCAAAAATGTTATGTAAGAAAGGTCAGCAACGCCTATTTATATCAATATATATTTATATATAAATCTCACCCGTTTCTGTACCTGTACGGTTCATTTGAATCCATCGCCCTACAACCGAACGGCTCTATTCCAACTATAGTGGCCACTATCTATCGTCCACCCAAGCCCAATACTGACTTTATAAATGAATTTGCTGCTTTTCTCACATTTATCTGCTCACTCTCCCCTAACGTAATACTGCTGGGGGACTTTAATATACATACGGACAATACCTCTAATGCATACACAAGGGAATTTACATCCTGCCTGGACAGTTTTGGATTGGAGCAACATATTCACTTTCCCACTCACTCCAAAGCTCATATTTTGGACTTGGTTTGCTGCTCTGGTGTCACTCCTCATGGTTGCACTGCGGCCTGCACTGTCAACTTAACACTGCCCAAAATAAAACTGCCACGTGTCATTTCATTCAGAAATATTAAGGACATTAATTTAAACACTCTCTCTAGTGAAATAAACTGTTTTTCCAACCCTGATGAACTGGTTTCTCACAACAACGGTGGCCTACAAAACATTTTAAATTCTCTGGCTCCTTTAAAAACCCTGACTGTTTCCTTCACCCATTCTGTCCCATGGTTTACATCAGAACTACGCCAGCTCAAGGTAAAAGGTCGTCGCCTGGAATGCCTTTACAAGAAAACTGGACTCGTTGTGCACCAAGAAATGTACAAAAACCACATTCTCCACTACAAGGACGCTCTCTCTACAGCCAAATCCACCTATTATGCAGATATAATCAGTTCAGGCGGTAATACCAGAACCCTGTTGTCCATGCTCATCAACATACTACCTTAATGTCATTTTTTAAATCCAAAATATACAAGATTCACCAGCAACTGACTACTAATACCTCTCACAGTCTTTTTCAGTTCTCCCGACACCTCTTTCTTGTTAATCTTCAAGATTTTCGCTTCGCTCTGTTGCTGAAATATTGGACATTGTTAGAAATTCAAAACCAACTGCTTGTCAGTTTGATCCTCTTCCTACCGTCTAGCCTGCTCACCCTCTCTCTTCAAATCAGAGTTTTCCCCTCTCACTACCGGTGTTCCCCAGGGCTCTGTCCTGGGGCCCCTTCTGTTCATCTGCTTCCTCTTGGCCATATTTTCCATAAATTTAACATCCATTTCCACTGCTATGCGGATGACACCCAGCTCTGCCTGTCCACCAAACCTACCACACCTCTCCCTCCCACCTCCCTCTCTGATTGCCTAACGGAAATCAAATCCTGGTTCTCTTGCAACTTCCTAAAACTGAACAGTGACAAAACCGAGGTTCTCCTCATTGGCACCAAATCCACTTGGAATAAATTGGACAGTTTTTCTCATTGACAACTCCACAGTTTCCCCCTCCTCTCAGGTCAAGAGTCTGGGTGTGATCCTCGACAGCACACTTTCATTTCAAGCTCACATTAATAATGTCACTCGGTCTGCATACTTCCATTTACGCAACATTAATCGGCTCAGACCGTCTCTCTCACCCACTAGTACAGCCATTCTCGTTCACACACTGGTCACATCCCGCATTGATTATTGTAATTCTCTTCTCGTTGGTCTTCCTCTCAAATCCATAAATTAACTTCAACTAGTTCAGAACTCTGCTGCCCGTATCATCACCAGAACCCCTTCTATTAATCATATTATTCCTGTCCTTCAGCAGCTTCATTGGCCGCATACCGCATTGATTTCAAAACTCTTCTCTTGACCTTCAAGGCCATTCATAACCTCGCTCCTCGGTAAGTCACTGACCTCCTTCATACTAACACACCCACCCGTACTCTTCTTCTTCTATTCACCTCACTGTACCTCCTGCTCGTTTGACCACCATGGGGCTCAGAGCCTTCAGACGCTCTACCCCTCGTCTGTGGAACTCTCTTCCACCAGACATCCGCAACATTAACTCGCTTTTCTATTTTTAAATCCCACCTGAAAACACATCTTTTTAAACTGGCATATCCCAACTGATCACTCTTTCTCACTCTTTGTTTCCAGTTGTTTTGTACCCCGTTTTATTATGTTTTGTGAGGTGACCTTGAGTGCCTATAAATAAAATGTATTATTATTGTTATTATTACTTTTGATTAAAGATATTTGCTAAATTTATAAGACTCTAATGACAATGTTATATATAGAGCCTTAATTGAGTCTACCATCTCCTTTTCTATCATCTGCTGGTATGGCAACCTTGGTACCAAAGAGAGAAATGCCCTTGCTAATATTGTTAAGGTGGCCAGAAAGATAGCAGGAGTACAGTTCAGTAGTTTGAATCACATATCCATCAAGCAGGTGCTTAAAATGGCCATTCACTCAGATTGTGCCCATCCCCTAAAGCTGTTACCATCTGGCCTGTGCTTAAAGGCCCCTATTGCCATGAAAAACAGGTCCAAGAAATCCTTCATCCATGTCTCCATTCAAGCCTTGAATGCTAATGGAAAGATGAGGTAACTGTTGCTGTTGTTGACAAGTTTGTTACCTTAGTGATGGTGATGATGGTGGGGATGGGGATGAAGATGATGATGATATAGTGACAGTGTCAGTGATGCTTTTTATTATTGAGGTGCAGTATGCTATATTTGTATTGTTGATCTTGTGTGAGAACAGCAATATCCAGAATTATAGAGATGTGTCATGTTCTGTTGATGGTGACGCATATTACATTGAAATGGTTATGTTGCTAGGGGAGGTTGGTAATAGTCAGTGTTCTTTATACTATCTATAGGCGCTGCATGGTTACAGTGGACACTTATAGCTTTCTCCAGAGGAGCTTAAAACACTCACTGTGCATTGGTGCAAGCCACTTCTGTACAAATGTTCAGGCCAACTGCTGTTTGTTTATTATGTTGTGTTACATGTTTATATGTGTACTTCAGCATAAATTGCCTACTTTGGATAAATAATAAAATTGACTAATATCTCAGAGAAAAAAAACACCTAGAAATCGAACTGCTGCTAAGTCTTGTTTGTCCAGAATAGAAACATGTGGAAACACAAACAAATCTATTTATACTTGTTGTTTCTTCATGTAGTTAGTTTGTTTTCGAAGCAGCTGAGATAATCTGCGGATTTTTCCCATTGTGTGATCCTCTAACAAGCTCTGCAAAACAGCTGGTTTCAAAAGAATACACCAGTGATGGTAAGTAACTGTACATTCTCGTTCACACACTGGTCACATCCCGCATTGATTATTGTAATTCTCTTCTCGTTGGTCTTCCTCTCAAATCCATAAATAAACTTCAACTAGTTCAGGACTCTGCTGCCCAAGTAGTAACAGTTATAAACAGGGGCATTTGAAACCTTGGGGGCTTCGCTCACCCCAAAAATCTTTCATGTTTTCACCCGTGTTCCTCCCCCTGAAAAATCTGGACTTTAAACACTTAATTTCCTGCATTCTGGTGAATTTCTCTATACCAATTTATTGAGGAAATGTCTTTATTTATATAAAAAGGAAACACAAAATTCAGGTGGCAATGCAAAATAAATAAAAAATATTGTAATATAATGCAGTAAACCTCTCAGGGATTCTGTATTGCTGCCAGATATGTTTCTTCTGTACATCAACTTTTCTCATTTAATCCCTTTTAATTAATTAATTAATTTAATCCCGCTGAGTCAACATACATGCAGACACGCCTGAAGTAGCCTGAAGTCTTTTTAAATGTGCATGTAGCCCCTTTTCACCTCAGTGATAAATTAGCTTAATTAAATTGAATTCAGTTATAAACTCCTGGATTTTTATAGCTCCTGTTATAGCTCCAGCAGATTTCCTGCTCATGTTCAAAACCTTCTGCACATTCAGAATCTCTCCCACATATCTGTGTTCTCTGACATTTGCAGAATAATATTTTGAGACAAAAGTTGTCATTACGAGAAGAGCGAGGGGGACAGAGACGGCAGGACACAGAGCATCAGGTGTCTGTGTCGCGGTCAGTGTGTCACTATATTCTCTCACTACTTTGTGGCGACCGTTTGTGTAGCAAATACAGTGACTAGACACTGACTGACAATATTTATATTTAAATGTTTTGATTACAATTTTCAGTTGTCGCGGACAAGCCCTGAAGCTGTGTGCAATGCGCTCTCTCTCTCTCCTCTCATGCTTACTCATGTTATGGGAACTTCAAACAAAATGTATCAAGAGAATTGCAAGTAGCCTCCGCGAGTCAGGCTGCACCATGAAGATTACTGCATATTAAAATGGAAAATATTTTTGTTGCTGTTGCTGAGTTACAGTCTGGGCTACAGTCTAAAGCCCCGGAAAAATGACCTGGCAACGCCAATGGTTATAAGTTATAATGTAGCTAAAATACACGCAAACTCTCATGTAATTGCAGTAAACATACCCAATCTACTGATGACATTTCCACATGGTAGCACAACCAAACACATGCCGTTTTAGATCTGCATTGGAGAATGGAGATTGCAGTGTGAGGCCGCTGTGAGACAATTCACACACCTGTTTACACCAGAGACTGCATATAAAATACCACTTTCGTTACAGATACAGTATGTCTTCTTGTCCCTGCAAACCCATTTCAAATATACTTTGGCCAAAATATATCAAAATTCAATTCCAGCTAATGCCATCCATGCTGAACGTGTAAGAGTTTTTATAAAGGCAATCTGCCAAATAGCAGCAGCTGGCTGATGTGGGGAACTCTGTGTTTGCCACTCATGTCCTGAATAATCTTACTGCAACTTGTTTGCCTTCCTCAAATTGACCCATCACCCATTGTTTTCTGAGTTTGGCCTCTTCACGCCTACAATTGAGCAGGGACGCTCTGTGCTTGAACTACACCCACGCTTCTGTCTCCCAGCAAGTGGACAAACATGTTATTTCCCAAATCAGAAATGCATTTGCAACTTCTTGCAAACACTTCCCACACAGACGGTATTAAGAGCTCGACAACAGCAAGTAACCCTGCAATCAACCCTGTGGGATGCACACTTCAGTTTTAGGTTCTTCAGCAGCACCCCTACACTCTCCTGTCCACATCAGCTAGTTGACTTAAAAGCGGCTGCTTAAATGCACAGCAATACAGTGCTGTTTCTACTAATTGTGCAGTAATACAATGTACCAACATTGTTACTTTATGGCTGCCATATAATAGCATTGCTTTTTATTTCACATTGTTTCACTCTTTATATCAGTAATACAGTTGGTAAAAAACAACAACGTGTCAATAATATTGTCTCAAAAATAAAAACAATGCTGTGGAAGTGTTTCTTACATCTCCTCCACTGTCTTTAAGGCCCAAAGATGTTTGGGTGCTGAGACAACTGCATCACAGCGTCCAGCGGCAGCTCTAGACCTGTGTTGGCCGGTACGCTGTACAGAACTACCGGCACAGGACTGCTGTCCGCCACCTGCATTTACAATAAACATAACGATTCAGGTTTCATTCAAAAGTGAAATGTTATTATTATACTAAAATATACACACCCAAAGTAAATTATGGCTACACCCTTCAATTAAATACTTATATACTAATATAATATACTAATATCCTGAATCAGTGGTTTCCACACTTAAAATATGTACTGTAATTCATGTTTAAGAGTTGGAGCTCTTTGACAGTGTGTGTGTGCTCTTGTACGTCATCTTTATGAGGCTCAATTTAACATGTTTTGAACAGTGAGAACATTTTGGGCAGTCCTTAATTAAGACTCGGCTTTAGGTTTTAGAGTTAAGTGTAGTGTAAGGATTAGGGAATGCATTATGTCTATTAGGGTCCTTACAAGTATTTAAGTACATATGTGTGTGAGACTGTGTGTCTGCTGACCTTTGTGAAGTGCTGGATCAGAGCTCGGCTGTCCATCTTGCCCTTGTAGAAGCAGGGCGTTACCACGAGGACGGCGTCGGCTCCGGCTGCCGCCATCTTCTCTGTGAGCTGGACTGTGGCTCTTGTAGCTGAAGAGATGAAAGAGGCGAAAGCAACTTTACTAACACACACACACACACACAGAGCTTTCGTATACCTGTCAAAAACCTTTTATCAAGACAAAGAGTTGAAGGACTGGAGTAACTCATGACTGCAGGAGGTTTTACACCTTTTCATTCTTTGGCTGTTTGTTCCCTCAGTTCAAGGGATTTCTGTGGTATATATTAATTCTTAATACACCTTCTGTATGTACACGTAATGCACGTGGACCCTCGTACAATGCCTCCATTTATATTCCATCAACTGTATATATGTCTTCTCTCTCCTACTTAAGAAACTAAATACAACAACCTTGGCTTTAATTATACGGTAAAGAAGAGGACGGAGGAAAGACAAATGTAAAGACTGAATGTGGCTGGAAAACTGACCCCTGGATTTAAAAGAATTCCTTTCATCAGCAGCATTTCGTGGTTTCAAGGTCAAGCAGGACCCAGACAATTTATGAAACAATGTGTCTGTCAGTGGAATATTTATTGAATAAAAATCTGTGAAATACTTGAAGAAAGAGCCCAGAAGGTTTTTATATCTTCAATGAATGGAGGAAGTAGAGGAACTAAAGAACGAGTTAATGCACATCTCTCTCTCTCTCTGAATGTTGTTTATGTGCTATAGACCTGAACAGCCAATAAAACTGCTCCAGACTCCATTTGACTTCAATTATCAGCACATAAAAAACACATAATGAGCTCAATCAAGGTCACCAAAATCTATATTGGAAACATGTAAAGTCAATTTGAGCTTTCAGCGCTCCACACACGTCTGAATTGTTAACAGAGGTTTTTAAAATACACATTTGTAGCTTTGAATAAACGGTGTATGTTTTTGTTTTTTAGAATTTTGATTGAAGCAGATGGAAAACTGGAAGACACACTATTCCTTCTGCATTTTCATTTTCAACCTATGGTGCATGAAAATCTGTGTTGCTTTTCATAGTTGTAGTAGTTAATGCTGTACGTTAGAGGTGTTTATAGACACACACACTGAAACCTACATTCACAGCCTGATCCGGCCATCAGCAGTTTGTCTGCCGGCAGCGATCGTCTGACTGTCTTCACCACCTCCACCCGTTCTTCCTCTGTCAGGTATGGATACTCACCATTGGAGCCCTGAACCACCAGGCCTGCAACACAGAACACACCGTTTTCCTTTGGTTACCTCTGCAAAGAAGGTCAACTGATGTCCTAATGTTTATCTGTCTGATTGTTTGTGACTAACCATGCATACCTCTGAGACTTGTGGCCAGGGAAGCTTTCCATTTATTGTACATGACATTTTAGTGTCATCCCTTAGACCAAACTGTAGATACTGTTATCAACTATTCTGTCATCTCTATATATATATATATATATATATATATCTATATATATATATATATATATATATATATATATATATACACACATATATACACATTATATACACATTATATTATATATATATATATATACACACACACACACACAATATTTACACACAAAAATTTTACAAAATATAAAAAATATTTTGTAGCAATAAAATACCACCAGAGGGCGACAAACAGCTACAGGCGTCTGTGTGATTTTGCGTTTTTCCCTCTGTGCTGAACTTTGTCCACTCAATCAGGTCCCTAAGTAAATAGGCTACTCATGACTAACTAACAACTAATGAACCTCAGGTTTGCTGGAAGTATTTATACATTTCACATGCAGAATAGAATGTAACTGGATGTTTTCCTAAAGGACCTCATCTGAGTCACACACACACTGCTTACATGTCCTGTTTGTTCTCCCACTGAGTAAACCACTACTAATATAACACTACCAAATCAAGCTTATCTTACTGTGGACCTCTGCACCTCGGACTCTACTTTGGGAATGCCGAGTTTTGTTCCTTAATTTGCTTTCGGTGCCTCAGGCCTAACCTTTGAAAGGTATCTCGGCATATTTCTGCAGGTTTTCCGCCAGTTTCTGGTAGTCTACGTCCTCTTTGGCGGTAAACGGAGTGGCAATGGGAGGATAAATCCCACTGAGGTCCAACCTCGCAGCTACTGTGTAGCTCTGGGTTCGTTTCCATGCTGACAAGGGACCTCCTCTGCGCAGGGGACTCAGACGTCTCCAGGCCCGGACGCACAGCATTGTGAAGCCGACAGAGTTACCGAGCTGCTCGCTCCCTGTGTTCTGTGAGATCAGGTTGTCTGGGACTCTGTGCAGCTGCTGCTACCCAGACAGTTAATCACTAACCTGCTTTTGTAAATATTGACCCCAATATGTGTTTTCTGAGCAACTCTAAAACTGCCCCAACTCTTTACTTGAAACGACTCGTTCCTGCAGCATGTTTTGCTCTGCGCGGCCTGTTCAAATGCGCGTTTTCAGTTAAATTCACACGATTACCAGCACAGCAGTGAATTTCATTCAACTGACACTTGCTTGAAATGAGTACCAGGCGGTTAGAATCAGTTCACTAACCAAAGTTAGCAAGTATTCTGCAAAAGATCCAAAGCTCCGCCCACGAGCAATAAGGGTTCACCAACCACAAGCACGTCCCAGGATGGTTTTTATTCCAACCAAATTTTGCTGTCACCATATAAACCAGCAACGTACTCTCCCCAAAAACTTGGAAACCGAGGTGGTGGACAGAAACGGTTGAAAAATTAAAGGTTGATTTGGGTTTAAAGAAAAAGATAGATTTGTTTGTTGTTATTGGACCTCTTGATTTGAAAATGTCAACATGACAACATCACCAACAGGCACATTTAGGGAGAATCAATAAAAGAAAACAGAAGGAAGCATTAGAAACAGAAAACAAGATGATCACAAAGAAAGGCTGGTGACCATTATGTTAAAGACATGCTGCTAAAGGCCATTACTATTATATTAGAATAACATATGCACTATTATAATTAATATATTTTAAATGACACCATTTGGTCCTGAGCAAATGCTATAATATTCTTTGTGGGGTTCATCAATTGTGATAAATGATTCAAAGTATATTTTATGAATGTTTAGAGTCGTTAATGTTTTATTGCACTTGGTAGAAGTACCATTAATTAAGATTCAGCAAAAATATGTGGTTATAACGCGTTTCATAATTGTGCCACCTGCCTAGATTTGCATCCACCTCTTTTCTCAGTATAAATGAGCATTACCTCCCGCAAGGTGCATGGAATTCTGGGCAGGCATGTAGAATTCTCACACCTGTCCTCCAGCCTCTGATAGCCTTTATATTACTGCCACCATGTGGAGAAACGTTGCACAACCACTGGTACATCCCTGCGTAGTTTGCACCTTTAAAGTTTTCTTACAATTACTAACATACATTTCTCCATACTGAGTTCAGACAGATGCAGCTCCCCACAACAGTTCATCTAACACCATAAATGCACTAATGCAACCAAACACTTGATACAGATTTGAGGATCAACTTGTGAACCATAACACTGACAATAGGAACAGTAAACCTTGTCACTCATTCCAGAATGACATTAAAATACATAACAAGAGGTGGCATCACAATTGTGTCACTGTTGTGTTTGACAGATATTTTACTTATTTAACATAAACCAAGATTCCAGTAGTACAAAAATAAGGAATCTTTATTGCATGGATTGTGCTACCTTACAGTACATGTCACAGAGATTAATCAAAAATGTGTTTTTAGGTTTTTTTGTTTGTCGTTTTTGTATAGAGTACACAAAATTAAATTAATTAATTACTAAGGAATTCCATTAATTCAATACACAGAGATCCACTATACAAGAATGAAATAGTGAAATGTATGGGGCTGATTGTTCTTATGTTGTATATATGATGCTTTGGCAATGTTGTTGTTACATTCATGCCAATAAAGCTAATTTGAATTAAATTGAATTGAACTGAATTGAGTGCTAGTCCACATTTGGCCTTAAGTTCCCCTTCACGTCACGAGTTATGTTCTCTCTTGCAAGGCACCCCCCGAAAGGATCTTTTTACATGCCTGATCCATCCCTGACAATCTTCGGCAAATTTGTCCAGACACCCAGCATTCATTGTGTCCAGGGGGGACATCTGATCACGTGGCTAGTGTTACGTTCCATGAGGAAAATAATTCCTCTATGGAGATGAGGGATGGAGAGTAAGGTGAAGTGAAAAGCGACACCATCCTGGGACAGGCTGTAAACCATTCTGCGACTGGAAGCGATGGTGATACGTCAGATCGTCCCACATTCTGGATTCCCGCTCCCTTTTCCCCTTACCTCACCTGGCAAAGGCTTTGGCATAAAGGAAGGAAAATAGGCACTCAGTGTATGTCCTAAAAGGTAGTTCATCCATTTTTATTTATTTTTAAATGTAGCAAAATTGTGATATAGGGTCATTGAATGCATCTTATTTCAAAGCAATGAAAAGTGATCCACAATTTAGTCCTTGACTTCGATTGTGCGGACTGTGTGAAGAGTTTTGAAAAAAAGTGAACTCAGTATTGAGAAATGTAAGTTAAGTAATTGTAAAAACAAAACAAAAAACTGTAAATAAGTAGTTTCTCTCTCTTTTTTTTTTGCTTAAGCATATCATGAAAGAAGCAGTCTGCACCATTAAAACAGATACATAAAACCACAATGTTCTCATTTCCATGTCCATTACATATTTACACTGTCAGTGTCACACATCAGTCCAAAATCTCCCATAATGTAGGTGGTGTTTAGATCTATCAACAGTCATTTCATTTAAAATTGAAATGAAATACTTTGACTCCCTTGTTTCTGTACAGTTACACTACGCTGCACAAAACTATGTGGACATCCCTGCACATACTTTTGTTGTGCTATTAGTTGTAACTGTTTTCAGCTACCTGGATGACTGCTACCTGTTTCTGGCAGGTAAGCCAGAAACAGGTAGCAGGACAAAGCTGCAGGAAGCAGATATCAGGCAGAAAGCCAGGAACAGCTACAGACAGCAGGAACACAAATGCACACCATGCCACACTTACTAAAGAAAAGGGGGTGATGAGATATTGAGAGGCAGGTTTGTCAGCAGGTAGGGATGATTTGGGAAGGTGAACAATCAGGTGACCAGGAGTGGTGGGAAATGACTTCCCAGATAGGGGAGTGAGAAGTTCAATTCAATGTTATTTCCATCGCCAATCATAACAGAAGTTATCTAATTGCACTTTTCATATAGAGCAGATCTGGACTGTACTCTTTGTAATATTATTTACAGAGAACTTCCCACTATGAGCAAGCTCTTGGTGACAGAGGGACAGACTGAGCAAAATAAAAACAACTGAGGAAGCTGTCAAGACATTGTGTGCCAGGTCTTATCACCCAAAATCAGCGGTGGACCTCCCTGGTGCTCTTGTGGCTGAGAGTGAATCCTGTAGCCGTGTTCCAAAATCTGCTGGAAAGCCTGAAACCAGAAGAGTCGAGGCTGTTGCAGCAGCAGATTAATGCCTGTGGTTTAAGATGGAGATGCTCTACATTCACTTATCAGTATAATGTCCACATTGTTTGGGTGTACACACTTTCAATGATGTGGTGGGTATTGTACTTCCAGTAATATCAGACCACACAATACTTGATTTATGCCAATAAATTTAGTGGGTGGGAGAGTGAACATGACAGTATTACATTTGCAAAATCACTTAGTTCCATGTATAAAATAAAGGATGAGCTGGATAAAACTGAGAAAGATCAACATTCTTTATCTCATCTTTCTCATTCAGTCTGATGTTCAAGGTCAGACTTTGTGTGCTCAGGCAACATTGTTTAGACAACAACATCTGGGTGGGATTTTCCGCTGTTATCAGACCAGAGGGTTTAGCCACAATGACACCTTAAATAAGACGTGTGTAGCTCCATCAAACAGCTTACTACTGATTGTAAATTGTAAAACAATCTCAGGTGGGAAAATCACTCTTTGGTTGAAATGTTTACAACTCTACAATGAGGACTTTATTGTTAGGAGTCACAAGCCCAAAGGTTTGGGTACCACAGTGTAGGAGCAAAATGTTTGTAAAACAATATGGAGACACAGATAACTGTAACCAAGGGCTTAGAGAGTTTTTGAGCCTAGACTGTTTTTTAAGGTCATGCCACAACATGTCAATTGGATTCAGGTCAGGACTTTGACTAGACCACTCCAAAGTCTTCATTTTGTTTTTATTAAGCCATTCAGAGGTGGACTTGCTGGTGTGTTTTGGATCATTGTCCTGCTGCAGAACTCAAGCGCGCTTCAGCTTGAGGTCACAAAGAGATGACTGGACATTCTCCCTTAAGATTTTTTGGTAGAGATCAGAATTCATGGTTTCATTTACCACAGCAAGTCTTCCAGGACCTAAAGAAGCAAAACAGCCCCAGACCATCACACTCCTACCACCATATATTTTACTGTTAGAATGATGTTCCTTTTCTGAAATGCTGTGTTACTTTTACACCAGATGTAATGGGATATACACCTTCCAAAAAGTTCTTCTTTTGTCTCATCACTCCACAGAGTATTTTTCCAAAAGTCTTGGGGATCGTCAAGATGTTTTCTGGCAAAACTGAGACAGTGGTAACAGTGTCTAACAGTGGTATTTGTTTTGGAACTCTGCCATGCAGGCCATTTTTGCTCAGTCTCTTTCTTATGGCGGAGCCGTGAACACTGACCTTAACTGAGGCAAGTCTAGAGCCAGTCTGCAGTCTACTTTGGATGTTGTTGTGTTTTTTGTTTTTTTTTGTGACCTCTTGGATGAGTTGTCGCTGAGCTCTTGGGTTAAGTTTGGTAGGCCGGCCAATCCTGGGAAGGTTCACCACTGTTCCATGTTTTCACTATTTGTGGATAATGGCTCTCATGGTGGTTCGCTGGAGTCCCATAGGTTTAGAAATGACTTTATAACCTTTTCCAGTCTGATAAATCTCAGTTTCATTTGTTCCTGGATTTCTCTGTATTGCAGCATGATGTATAGCTTTTGAGGATATTTTGGTCTACTTCACTTTGTCAGGCAGGTCCTATTTAAGTGATTTCTTAATTGAGAACAGTAATCAGGCCTAGGTGTGGCTAGAGATGTGATAAATCAATATTTAAATTTGTTTGATGATCTGAAACATTCCAGTGTGACAAACATGGAAAAAAATAAGAAATCAGGAAGGGGGCAAACACTTTTTCACACCACTGTGTATGTCCTTTAATACATGCTCATGGGTTTCCCACTGTTGAAGAAACCATCATGTGTGCAGTGGTTAGTAAGTCATTATTATAATAGAAGAGATGTCAGCAGCTGTAAATGTTAAGAAATTGTAAATTAATGGCTTTTGGTCCAAATTTTGCAAATTTAACAGTGGAGTATCTTCCTGATTAACTATTCTATTCATTCTAAACTCACTGGCCACGGGCCAAACACCGCACTCACCAGAAGTCGTGACACAAAAGTGACACAACTGAAGGTTCAAATATTCATTAAAACACAAGACATTGCTACAAATCTGTGAGCTCAATCAAGAATTCGTGAACTCCTGTAGCCTATTACTACAGTAGTATTCATGGTGGTGAGCTCGAGGCTATTATTAGAAAGTTACGTCACGGCACAGTGGAGAGCGCATCTCTCTCTCTGTACAGCAGAACATCATAATCACTAGCAGAGAGCTGCTGGTCCCTCCTTCTCCCGCATGGACCGGAACCACGCATAACCACGTGACCCGGGAGCTCTGGACTGAACGAACATCTCACACCGCATCATGGCTGCGGAGGATGCGGCCGCGCGGTCCCGAACCGGAGCCCTGCTCTCACGCGGGGCTCCGCTCTCTCCCTCCCGCCTGCTGCTGCTCTCCCTCTCCGCCTGCACTCTGCTCCCCGCCCCGGCGCTCGGCTTGCTCGGCTTTCGGCCTGAGGAGACCGGGGCGGAGCTGTCCGTGGCGGACGGGGTGCTGAAAGCCACCGAGGGAACCCGCTTCATGCTGCGGGTTTATTACTCCACCTCCCCGCAGAGGCTCAACCGCACCGCAGGGACTCGCGCCAACAACGCCGCGCCCTGGATCGCCTTCATCGAGGAGCCAACTCCCGGGCGAGAGGGACAAGTTCACCCGAAGCGGAACATGTGCATGGACAAGAACACCAGGACGTCCGACATCGAGGTTTTAGGTTCTTTCAAGTCTGCGTCCAGTCAGAACTCAGTTCTTGTGGAGCTGCTGGCCAAGGACCTGCGGAAGGGGGAGAAGATCAAATACTACTCCATGTGCGCCTTTGACGGATCCAAATGGGAACACTACCGGACAAGGGATTTCTGGGTGGCCGTGGTGGAGCGCGCGGCTGTCCCGGAGCTCTGGTTGCAGGTGTTGGTGTCCGTCCTGCTGCTCGCGCTGTCAGCTCTTTTCAGCGGGCTGAACCTGAGCCTTCTGGCGCTAGACCCAGTGGAGCTTCAGGTCCTCCAGAACAGCGGCACCGACAAAGAGCAGAACTACGCGCGGAAAATCGAGTCGGTTCGTCGGCATGGTAACTACGTCCTCTGCACTTTACTGCTGGGGACCGCAATCATCAACGCCTCGCTCGCCGTGTGGGTGTGCCAGATCCTGGGCATGACCTGGCTCTCCACGGTCATCTGCGCCTTCGGGATTTTCTTCATCGGGGAGATCCTTCCACACTCGGTGGCGTCCCGTCACGGTCTGGCCATCGCCTCCAAAACCATCTGGGTGACGCGGCTGCTGATGGTGCTCTCCTTTCCCATCTCCTACCCCATCAGCAAACTGCTGGACCTCATCCTCAACCAGGAGATCTCCATCTTTTACACCCGAGAGAAACTCCTGGAGATGCTGCGCGTCACCGATCCGTACCACGACCTGGTCAAAGAGGAGCTCAACATCATCCAGGGAGCGTTGGAACTACGCACCAAAACCGTGGAGGACGTCCTGACGCCGCTGTCCGACTGCTTCATGCTGGCCTCGGACGTCGTGCTGGACTTCAACACCATGTCGGATATCATGCAGAGTGGATACACGAGGATACCGGTGTTTGAGAACGAGCGGTCCAACATCGTGGACATCCTTTTCGTCAAAGACCTCGCGTTTGTGGACCCGGACGACTGCACCCCGCTGAAGACTATCACCCAGTTCTACAAACACCCGCTGCACTTCGTCTTCAACGACACCAAACTGGACGCCATGCTGGAGGAGTTCAAGAAAGGTGAGGGTGGCGCGCAGGGGTGTGTGTGTGTCTGTTTCAGGCGTGGAACCCTAACTGGGAAAAGTTCAGCAAGTGACATTATTGAAGTTCATACAAGATTATAAAGACATTGTTTGAAATTGCAGACACATAGAAAAATACATTTAATCAGAGAAAAATACCTGCAAAGGAGGTTATCTGGTTAACACATAGTAGCATATGGTAATAATACTGTATTTGTAGCCTATAATGATTATGGGATACTTTATTCTGTCTTTCCTCATCTCTCTCACTCATGATGCATGTGTTGTGTTCATCATCATCAAGGCTCCTCAAAGCAGCAATACTTTTTGCAGCTGTGGTGCCAGAGTTAGTACTGGCATGCAGGGGAAAGGGAAATGAGCCCACATGGAGTCTGGCATCTGTTGGGTGTTTAGTTACAATGGTTGCCTCTAGGTGTGGGGTACAGCAGCTGAGGCTCTGGGTGCTGACTCGCCTGTTCATCCTGGCCCCTTTGACACCTCTTTATCTGTTGAGTAGTCTTTAATCTACAAGTCATCAAGATGACACCTCCATCATCTCTTTTATTTCCATTCTTTTAACAAAGACCGAAGGATTACACTCTTGTGGGGAAATTGTAACAACCCCAGGAAGAAGACATCTCTTCAGATTTGTAAAACCAAATGATACTGGAAAGTTGAAATAAAATAAGCTTTTATTTTTTAGAGTCTTGAAAGATTTACACATCTGGAGACATGAGACTGTCACCCGGCAGTGATGATGTGTGAGCATCTAAAAAATCCTGTGCAGGAGATCAAACACACATCATGCAAAAAGTAATTATAACCAAGCAATATGCCTTCCAGGTGTTCTTATCAAGACCATAAAGCCCATGTGGTACGCTTGGTCAAGGCCCCTGAGATATGTGGAGCATGTAAGTGAACTCACAGGTTCATTTCATATCACACAGTGTGAGAAGGGTCTAACCAAATGGGCTGTGTTTCTCACAGTGGTATACTGTTTCTCTCATGATTGTCAACTTTTGTCTGGGACATCTCAAAATGGCACATTGTGTAGGCGGTCAAGATGAAGAAACGTCAGGTGAAATTTAAGGGGAGAGTCAAGAGTTTTCAGAAATACAGAATTACTTCTATTTAGATACACATGGTCAAATAGGTTTATTTAAACAGGCAGTGTGAAGGAAAAAAAAACAATTCAAACCACTCCACTTTCTTGATGACCTCCTTTATGTATGTTCAATTTAGGAAAAACATGTTCAGACAGTGAGCATTTGTACCATGTTTACTGGCTGCATAATGCCACAGACAGACAACTTGTAATGAATATAGAGAAATGTAAACTGAGCCTCGAGGCTGCTCATTCGTTAACACTGAAGTATTGTGAATGTGTATCTGTGTAAATATGAAGCGGAAAAGAGTTTGCAGTCTGCATAGCCCCTCCCTGCAAGAAAAAAAAAAGTTAAAACCCAGTTTGCAGTGCTGCTGCGGCAGAACAGTTTATTCTCCTGTAAGGAGTCAGCTGGTATTCCTGCTCTATTATAGAGTGAAATGGGTGGGGTGCTCACCAGCCAATCACAAGCCTCGCTATTTGTCACAGGCCTTGCTGCATGTTCAGGCAGCCTGCAGAGTCAGCATTGTCTATTTTTTTTTCCTGCTGGGTTTATGGTGAGGACAGGTAGAGACAGAGGTAAACCTCAAAGGACACCTTGTTCTAGACAGCATGTATTTGCATTTTTGCTTCTTTCATACCCACTGAGTGAAAATCTAGTTTTACCTAAATGTATAATTTTCAAGATGAACACTTTGCACATTTTGAAAATGCATTGAAATGTCTATGGGAAGATTTTACAAAAGCAAAGACGCAATTTAAAAATTTCAGCTGATAATTTTATACATTGATCTCCATTCTTCTCTCTCACTTTAACCTTCTTATGTATGTATGTCATGATGAACACAAACATGACTCCTGTGTCACTTTGCCACAGGGGGATCTGGATGAGATAATCTGCACAGACTACAGGATTATAAACAAGTCCTTTCCCTCTGTCTTTCTCCCTGTGTTGCTCTCTAACTCCACCCATGCCTTCTCCTCTCTCTTTAACAACACTTTCAGGCACTGCGGCAGAAAAAAACACAGATTCGCTCATTCGCTTCAATGAGACCCTATGCAGCAGTGGATGGTGCCACAGAGAGCTCTGGGAAAAACAAAGCAGCACAATAAGATGTGTAGTGTCTTAGCACAGTAAATCAAACAGGTCCTCCTTGTTTTTGTTTCTTCTTTTAACTGTAGCATAGCAACATACCCACAATAATGCAGCCCTTTGTGTTGTTGTTAGCATATCACTGCTGTGGGTTTGAATGCATCCTACAAAGTTGAGAAAAGTGGGTCTCATATTCACTGTTGAACATACTGGAGGTCCTCCGCTGCTGAACAGCAGCATGTTTCTGACCAGTTTAACTGCAGTTATTCTCTGATCTGTTTTTGTCTATTTATGATTGTTTCTCCACTTACACATTTACACTCTATATGTCAGCTGATCAGCTTTCTCATTGTAATTTTCCTTCAAATTAATACATTTGATTTGTGTAGATTCTATGAAAAATGGGAAAAAGTCAATGTTTTAAAGTGTTAAGTCACAAGTAACTCTCAACTCCAAGTCCTAAACTTTGTGTTCAGCGTCCACAATAAGTCATTAGGTGCCCTTCACCGAATGTAATGCTGTTGGATTTTAGTTACAAGTTACAAAGATTGACTGAGCTGACTTCTTAACCACAACTCAGAGTGTTATGGAGTAGATACCCAACAAGGTTAAATTATCAATTTACTGTAATTCGGTTTCAAGCAGGTCTTAACTATGCATATGTTGAAACAATGGTTACTGTAAACTACATATGTTAAAAGCAAATCTGTGCTTCAGGGAGAGTTCCTTAGCTGCAATAGAAGATACGAGAAGAATGTGATGGAAGAAACAATATCTGGGGAATAAATCATATCTTTTGCCTGCCAAGTTAATAAAACACTGATTTCACTACATTTAAAGACACTGCAGAGGTGTAGAAGAGAGTCCGCCAGTCTACTGGCACTAAAGAGGGATTATTTGGCCTGAATGCTAAGCAGTATGTCTGGCACAAATGAAGCCGGCCAAGTAACACCTTCCCCACTGTGAGGAATGGCAGCAGTAGCATGCTTGTATGGAGAACCATGTCAATGCAAGAGAAATCTTATTTAGACAGACAGGAAGCTGAACGGTTAACATTACATGCAAATCCTGGACGAGAGTCTGCACACTTCTGCCAGAAACCTCAAGCTAGAGAAGGAGGCTGTCTTTCAGAAATGAGCCAAAACACACTACAAGAACAGCATTAGCTTTAAAAAATAAAAGAATGAAGTTAGTCTTAGTGTGGCCAAATAAGAGCTCTGACTTTAATCACATTGAAGCTCAAATCTTCTGCCTGTCACCACCTGACAATTAACCCAAGAAAGTTTCCAAAGAGGAAAGGCAAGCAAATACTGTAGCTTTCTGTCTCAGAGTCCAAATGTAAATGAGTGTTGGTATGCACCAGATGTGATAAATATTGACAAAAGAAGAAAAATACCTGATATATTTTTATTAAAAAAATGTATTTATGATTTACTCTTACCCTTTATTAATAGGGAACTGCTGTAATTATGGTGGGCCATATCCACACAACACAACCCAGGAGGCGTCTCCCAGGAGGCTGCGTATAAAATATTCAGTGGGCTGTATTTCCAGTGTGTCTCCCAGCCATCTGCTCTTTATATTCATGTAATTTTTCACATGTTTCAGTTGATCAGCCCTCATCCTGAAAACACAGGTGCATGTGGTGAAATAATAGTCATCCAAGGTAATCTTAAGCATTTTAAATGAACGAACAGGCTGTAATGAGTTTAAAATTTAGGAGGTTTTAGAGTCCTTCTTGGTCCATAGCACCCAAGCCTAAAATCATTCATCAGTAAATATTTTATTCTCTGGTATTTTGTTTAGTTTTAGTACCTGTAAAGCTTCACAGATGGGATCCTGCAATGACACTAGATGAAGTGAATTTAGTCATTAGAAGAACACATTAACAGGTCTTGCCACTGAAAGAGGTGGTTGCTGCCAGAGTGTGAAGGGACAAGGGATGCATTCATTACAGGGTAGCATTTATATCAATTACCATGACTCACACTCAAAATGTATTCTTTTTTTATGCTCGAATGAACTAAGAATCCATCCCTTAGCTGGTGGAAACAGGGTTGAGTGATTGAGGAAAGTGTGATTCATTGGCAACCATAGTCCCTTCGTATTTTGGTAGAAGTTGTAAAGGTTGATGATCAAGTATGGATGTAGAGTTTCATTTTCTTACTTCTTACTGCGGACTCCTCATTACTAAATTACCATACCATATGTTGTGCAAGCAAGCTCGCAGCCTGGCCACTGGGAAACTTAAATCTCATCTGGGCCATCATTAATTAATTAACAGAAGGACAGCTTTTAAAAAATTTAAAAAACTGTTGAAGAAATCTGGACTTTCCAACAATGGTTTAATCTGCTGTTTGATTTTTTCTAATTGGATTCACTCAGTGCATCACAGGACATTATTTCTGAGTAATTATGTATCCTTCGGGAAACAGCTGTGTTACCTGTTGAGTTACATAAAAGGAGCCAAAATAACAAAACCCAGTACTTGAGTGAGATAAGAGGGATGTCTTCAGTTTGAATATACAGTTTGTTTTATATCATTCAGATTCAATTTCATATAAGTCAGTCTTCCAATCAGAAAACTGATTTTATAACTTTGAGGAAACTTGTGGGGAAATCAAGGAAATGAAAGAATTTTAGGGCGTCAAAAAAATACCAAACAGAAACAAAATGTGAAGAAGACATTGATGGAGAAACTAAAACTAAAACTGAACTGAAATTGGAGATGTGGTTCTTAAATCTGCAGAAGATGGAGAGAAAGAACATATAACACATTAGCTGCAAATACTCTCTTTCACTCTGTTCTGTAAGGCTGACCCATTTAGCTGAATGCTGCTCTGCCAGACTTGTGTTTAGTGACTCTGTGTGTGTATTGGCGTGTGACAGAGGTAGTAGGCCTATTTGGCAGGCAGAGAGTGTAGAAGCAGAGAGAGAATCTCAGTGAGGAAGTTGATTTGGAGCCAGACTGTTGAGGAGGAGCCACAAACAACGATTCACTCTGTTTTCTGGCAGTGTGTGTATGTGTGCAGGGAGTGCACGAGTATTTGTGCATGCGTGTTGTGTGTTTGTGTGTGTGTGTTTGAGCCCATGGACACTGACAGTAAAGTTGTGAATTATGTAATGGTGGGATGACTGACGCAAGGACAAAACTGTAGCTGCCTGCAATGCAGATACAACCCTTTCCTCTTGTGCCTTCCATGCCATTTACAGAACCGCCTACCTTAAATTAACTTAAATAAGCACTTAACATTTAAGATCCTGTCAGCCTGATTAAAGACTGCTCTGTTTTGTTTTATTTTCTTCTGCAAAATCAGTTTTTCATCCAGCAGTGCATGGATTATTAATTATTCCATTTATCTTTGGAAAACCCCCAACATTTTTACCCTCAAAAGCATACACTCATCATCCTGGAGGTAAACACAGCAGAAGCACTGCGGATTCTGGAAATGTCATCTGAGTGTGTTTATGTGATGCATCCAGAGACTGTGTGTTTTGTATTGAATCCTCCCTGCTGTTACACCCACTCCATTCAGCTCCTGCTGTGTCCCGACTTACTGAACATCAGACTGCAGAGCTCCTCTCCCACTCAGCGTGAGTCATACATGTGAGAGGCGATGTGAGCTTTACACAAATCTAATCCAAACTCTGAATCTAAAATCTAATGATCTTATTTGAAAATACTTAACCACTACAACTGTATTCTGGTATCTCATGACTCACTTGTTCAGTGAATAACAGCAACAACATCCATACCTTTTTAAAAAAAACTTTCACTGCAACTAACTGCTGCAATTTTAATTTATTAATGTAGTTATGTTTCAGAGGATCTGAGTAAATCTCCATATTTCTCTTGCTGTCAGTAAAATCTAAACATATATTGAAGCCAGGATGTTGTACTGTGACGCTTCATCAACTCCTTTGCCATCCAATCAGTTTTAAATCACGTGATCGAGTATTTTCCATTACTGGGGGAGCAAACCAATTTTGCATGAAGAATCACAAGAATTAGATCACTAATCGACACACATAAGATAATTATACCTATTACAATTCCTGAATATACACATAATTCACAATCCCCATATTGTCTTAATTTACATTTAAATGAATGATGAAGAAGAGGTTCAGTCACTGTGAACAGTTGCATAATTGTGATAAATGGGCGTACTTATAGTTTTAATTGGGTTAACTTTAATTGACATATTCTTGAAGTGGGTTCGTGGCTGCAAGTCTGCTGGTTTGAATCCTGGACTAGCTTTATTCTGGATGGAAAAACTGAATGAGGAAAAGCAATTCCCTCCCTTATTATTTCATACTTTTACATTTTGGTTAAAAAGTTTCTTCAGTGAAATCAAAGTGCATATTCTTTCTGTCACCACAGTTGAGTATCATGTCTGCCCATGTTATGTTCTACAGACATTGTTTACAGCAGAAAAAGTGATTATCTTGTTTAAATACTCCTTATTAATGTTTTTAAATTGTATTTATTCATTTACACTTTAGTCTTTGTGTTTTATGTAAGATTTTCTTCTGTTTTTTTACTATTGATGTCTATTAACATACTCTTTTTTTTTTGTTCAGGTGCTGCTGTCTGCAAGGGTGTTAAACAATGCATTGTGGGTTAAAAGCAAATCTGATTTGAGCTTTCCGATTAATGTCACCCTCCAGGGAAGTCCCACCTCGCCATTGTGCAGCGAGTAAACAACGAGGGCGAGGGCGACCCTTTCTATGAGGTGCTGGGAATCGTCACCCTGGAGGACATCATCGAGGAGATCATCAAGTCAGAGATCCTGGACGAGACAGACCTCTACAGTATGTACGCACACACACGCACACGTAACATGTCAAAATATTTTGAAACATAAAAAAGTGTGATTTGAACATCCTCATTTTGTGTGTGTTGGTGTGTGTGTGTGTGTGTGTCCTGTCAGCTGATAATCGCTCAAAGCGCCGTGTTTCTCACCACGAGCGCAAGCAGCAGGACTTCTCCATCTTCAAACTGTCAGAGAACGAGATGAAAGTGAAGATTTCTCCTCAGCTTCTCCTGGCAACGCATCGCTTCCTCTCCACAGGTAACAGCCAATCAGCTTGCTGCTGATGCTGTTCCTGTATCTCTATACTTCATGGAACAAACATCCTCACGAGGAAGGAGCTTTTATTCCTTCTACCATGTCACAAAACCTAATAATCTCAGGGCAGTGGTAAAAAGAACAGTGTACCATTAACGTCCACATATGGAAGAGTAAAATGAGAATGAGAAAACCCTAATAAAGTCAAAATATTCAGTAACACTGACGCTTTCCTCCATCCTTCAGAGGTGGAGCCCTTCAAACCAGGTCATATCTCAGAGAAGATCTTGTTGAGGCTGATCAAACACCCCAGTGTGGTTCAGGATCTCAAGTTTGATGAGAAAAACAAGCGAGCAACACAGCACTTCCTTTTCCAGCGCAACAAACCTGTGGACTACTTCATCCTGGTGCTGCAGGTAGACTTCCTGTCTCTTTGTTTTGGACATTTGTGGTTCAGTCCCTCCACAACATTTTGAGAGGCTCTTTCAATATGCTGTTGCTGTTGTGATTATTAAAACTCTCTGAGGGCTACAAACGATACATTGATGTGTCCTGGGTTGATAAAGAGTCTAGGCCATTATGTTAACATTGGAAATGATGCACAGTAATTAACAGAAGATAAGATGCAAACTAAAAAACATGTTTATCTTCTTGTGGTGTTTCTCTGGTGTGTTCAGGGTAGAGTTGAGGTGGAGTTTGGTAAAGAGGCGCTGAAGTTTGAGAATGGAGCTTTTTCTTACTTTGGGGTACCTGCCATCATGCCAACAGGTATAAATACACACACAAACATCTTATAATTGCATTGTTATGGGGACATTTCAATGACAAACCGCTCCCAGACCCCCAAACCTAACCTCCTTCCTATCCTCTACAGACCTAAAATACACTCCTGCCTTAACCTGACCACCTAAATTCAATCCAGATTTTAATATTTACCCTAAAGTGAAGAGATAATTGTAATTTAGAAGAACTGAGGGATGTTCCACAGCCTCACGCCAGATGTTTTAACATAGAAGTGGCAATAGAAACAGACACAAAAACACACAAACATTGAAAAGCTTAAATATATAAATTCACACAAAAATAAAACTAATTCCACTCTTGATAGCTTTTTTAATTAATTACACACAAACGCACAACAGAAGAGATATACTGCATACTGCAGGGAAATCAAAACAGTTCAATCACAAGAAATATGTGAACATTTTCAATTTATTCAACTGCCAAACCCTTGAATGCAGCATTCATCAAGTAAAGTGAATGAGATGAATGAACATTTTAAAGCCATTCACTTGTTAAGCGAGGTGAAATGAGTTTGCGTCCCTGAGCTCACTTTGTCAATGACTGATTGACAATACCAGTTCTCGTCTTGTCCTTGAGAATGTGTAGGACAAATATTTAAAGTCTATGCTTCCTCTGCAGTCCACAGATCCCCCTCTCGCAGCAGTGGTTTGGACCGCTCTGAGTCTATGCCGTACGGAGGAAGCATGGGCCAACTGAACGGAGGGGGGAACGTCTACCTGCCAGACTACTCTGTCAGACAGCTCACACATCTACAGATCATCAAGGTAGCATCTGAATCTCAAATGACCTCAGTCTGGATTTCTTCCTTTTAAACGTTCTGTTTTCGCCTTTACTTTGATCTGTGAAGACAATAGCGTGTGGAGTTTCAGGCTGGGTTTTCTTTTCTTTCATTTATTTGGTGATTTGATTTGGGGTTAATTGTAGGCAGCAGATGTTGTACATTTAGAATGAACTTATAAAATATAACATGTCAGAATGTGAAAAAGAGGAAACATCCAAAGTTCTGCCAGCCGTCCCCAGAGGGTTCATTACACTGCACAATGTGAAAGTTTTGAATGGAGTCAACAACATGACATTTTTGCTATTCTTAGGGCCAACTGAGATATGACAATTGCGACAGTATAAGATAACTTGCTCGTAAAGCTGGTAAAAGTCAACAGTAGATAGATGACAGGAAATGAGGGGAGAGAGAGAGATGGGGAGAGTAAAACTGGGGTTGTTGTGGTTTACAGCTGGAACCTACACACCTATTATGGGATAGCGGAAATGGAAGATGAGGGGTCACAGCAAATATTAGCATTCAGGGACCATGGATGTCCACAGCAGATTTCATGAAAATGTGTTTTTGAGATAACTTGTCATGGACCACAGTTTTAGTCAAAAGGAAGGATGATGGAGCTAGACGGGGGTCAGGGGGTCACTAAAGCTGTCAGGAATCTTCCCCTTGTGACTATGAATATCTTCCTTTCTGCTAGCAAGGCAAAAATAAAGTTGAATACAACAAATGCAGAGGACATGTTGGGTTTCTGTAAACATCACAGAGTCTGCTCTAGACCTGCTCTTTTATGAAAAGCGCTCTGAGATAACTGTTGTGATTTGGCGCTTTATAAATAAAACTGAATTGAATTGACATGATATTAGTTACAGCCTGAAAGCTTTTTTTGCATTACATGGAAAAGAAAAATAACTCACTGCTGTTGCGTTAAACCTTTTCTGTCCAACACTGGGGAAAAAAATCTATGTATTGTATTTATTTTATGAGTTTAACAACATCTGATTCTTCAGTTGAAATTAAAACATAAACATGATCAACAATACATCAGCAATCAATTAAACTGTGACAGTGAAGCTGTTATTTCAGTAATTGTTATTTGAGAACAATCTAATAATTTAATAATACCTATTAATGCTTTGACGTGTCAGATCACCCGGAGCCACTACCAGAATGCTTTAACAGCCACCCGGATGGACAGCTCTCCTCAGACGCCTGATGCTGACACCCGTCTGACAGAAGGCAACACCCTGATACCGGAGCCTCCGACAACGGAACACGGGGCCACCCTAATGCCCCCGCAGCACACCACCACCACCCTCATGCCCCCACCCAGAGAGCAGGGCCGGCCCAGCTCAGCCCGAACCCGAGGACAGCAGTCCAGCGTCCCACACAGCACCTCGCTGCTGAACGAAAAGAACCGCATCGTCCGTAAGTATCCTCGACTCCAGAGGCATGTGGTGATTAGTCCAAACATAGAGAGTCAAAGGGCAAATGAGGATCCTGCTGCATGTTTACAGTTCAGACCGACCGTCAATAAAATATTATGTGAACCAACAAACAAAAGCTGCTCTCTCAAATTAGTTTTGTCTGGATCCATATTCAGGACGAACAGAGTTTAATAACCTCAGCCATCTCTCGCTGCAAAAAGATGTTTTTAAAAATATTGTGACAGAGACGCAGTCTGAGGACAGATAAACAGATGACAGAGAAAACAAACAGAAAGAAAAGGTGGGACTATCTCAGTGGGGGGGGGGGGTTTGTACTTACTATGTTTTAGGACATGTTTGGGAAATAACTAAATGAGAACCAGCTTAACATTTAGACTTTGGAAGTTTTGGTTGGACCTCAGTGAGTTAGGTTTGGTTTTGGGTTAAAATTAAGTTCATTTAATAGTGGGTCATGGTAGGGCATTTTTCAAAATGTATTTCAAGTGAACCTTTAATTCCACACCCAAAAATATTCACATGTACAATCCAAGTGCAACATACATAACATTTCTGTAACTATATATTGAGGTTTTATGTTAATGTGTTGCAGCAGTGACGTTTACAGCGGTTATAATCTTCCATAACCATCTCTTCTACTGTGGACTACAGTTTAAATGAACCATCTTTGTTTAAATTTGTCACTGAAGGCAAACATGATGAGATTAAAGCCATCTGAAATATTGATGCACCACTTGAAATTAGTTATTTTGTTCCTAAGCGTTTTGCGAAATGACGCATCTCAAGAAGACCAACGGCACCAACACTGAGGAAAAATAATTAGCCATTGCTGATTACAAAACCAACCTTCTACCATCAGGTAGTCTAATTAAAGACACAAGTGCCTCATTCGTTTTGAGTACAAATAAAAAAAGAAAGTTGTTATGTTGTAGATGTGTTATTTTGGCCAACAAAAATAACAAAAAGATGGATGTTTGTCAAGTGCATATTGTACGGCTGTATGTATTGTTGGCTGTGGCTCAGGTGTTGAAGCAGGTTGGCTGTTAATCGGGAGGTTGGCGGTTCAATCCCTGGCTCCCAGGCCGCATGCTGACGTGCCCTTGGGCAAGATACTGAACTCCCGAATTCCCACTGGCGGCTGTTCCGCCATTTACATATTGTCATTGTGTGAATAGAATAAGTTAAAGATAAAGAAACATTTACAGCCGAGAGTTATGTTGGGTTTTTTTTTTTTTACTTTAAATTAATGACAAGTTGGCAACTAGTTCTCTCTCATGACCTGCCCTAAATGGAAAGGTATCACATGTATTCTGATGCGTGCTTCTGTCTACATGTGTGTGCTGCAGGTAGTAAGTCGGATGGCCAGAAGAGTCCCAGTGATTCAGTGTTTCTCCGGATGGATGAGATCCCCTACATCAGAGAGGACAGATCGGAGACTGACACACACACTGGTACGATATCAACCTCCATTTATGTAAACAGATGTTTTCACACAAAAAATGTGATTGGTCACAACAACCCTTACAGCTAACCTTCTACATGTAATGGTAACGTTAATAAATTCTAGTGATTTAACGTTATTTTTTCTGCTTCCACTTTTGCACGAATAGATGAAGACCTGGGTGGTTAGCATGAGCAGAGATAGTCACCATGTGTAAAGAAATAGGAGAAACATCTTTAACATCTTATTTTCACATCCAAATATTTTCCAGCAAGTAGCAATTTCCCAAATTTGTACTCACATTTAGCTGAAGGGCCTACAGGACTTTAATCTCTCCTCCAACCGAGACCAAAGCTGTTCTTCATTGACAGGGTCATGACTATGTCTCTCTCTCTCTCTCTCTCTCAGACATGGCCTCCATTCCCATAGAAACGGACACATCTCCTTTCATCAGCAGCCTCTCGCTGAGTGGCTCAGAGGACACACTCGGCAAGAAACTCCTGCTCAAACTCAGTCAGTCTCTCTCTCACAAACCCACATTTCTGTGTCTATACTTGTGAGGACATAATGCATTATCTAGTGTCTAACCTTAACCATCACAACTACAAATGCATAACCCCAACCCGTACTCTAGCCTAAACTAAATTCAAACCTTTATGCCGAGTCTTAATCTTCAAACAGTACGTAGTGAGGATGGAAGGACTGGCCACAATGTCTTCACTGCGCTGGTTTAAAACCAATAATGGTCCTCACAAAGATAGTAATATAACACCTCCTCCCACCCCCACACACACACAAACAGGCACACAATCCATCTATCAACCAACCTTTTTCTGTTTCCCTCTCTCTTTCCCTCCTTGGCGTTCATTCACATGCAAACACAACCACCATAGGAAACACACACACACACACACACACACACCCACACACGCACACGCACACACATAGCTTCCCCTCCAGAATCTGCTTCCTACTTACACTCACATTTTTGTTTTCAATTTGCCCACTTGGCATTCCCATGTTGTTTCTTAAAGGACCATGCCAGTGTTTTTCCTCTACAAAGGTACACATTATTGTTGGCCAATTTGCAAAGCATAGATTATAAGCCAAGAAACTACACGTAAAGATAAAACTAGACACAAACAAAAAAAGTAGTTTGTGAGGTTTTTGAATGGATATGCTTCATGTCACTCTGTATGAAAACCATCTTGTTTCGATTTGAGTCTACACAAAATTATTTTGATTATGGCCACACCTGACAGGCCTCGCAGTGTCCCTGCAAAAAGATCTTGTAATCTTCTTTTGTCTTCCCTCACCTACTTTGACAACTTCTATGATGTTTTTCTTGATGTTGTCCAATTAGGGCACACAACGCTCTTCAGTAAACAAGAAGACTGAGGTTTTATTTCATTTCAGGCTACCTGTAATCATTAGAGTATCCCCGTCTGGTCGCAGGTGTGACATCACCGTCTGCACACAGTGTATGCTGCTCATCTACACACTCACCCCTTTCATTGATTGGTTCTAGCTTCACTTTCATTCATAAAACAGTGATTGTAGGTATAAACAGCCGTTGGTGCAACAGTGCAGTTGGTCCTTGGCACCTTACCAACCACCGCAAGTCACAAAGGCCAAAAGCTATGATCCGTCTTGGAGCTTTTCAGTCAAGTCACAGCAAGAATTTATGACTTTAAGATTGCCTAACCTGACTCAAATTACAAAAATACTGTGTAGGCTGATCTTGGCATTCTCATTTAAGTTTCAAGCAGTGTATTTCTTCATCTAGTCTGACTCAAGTGAAAAAAAATGTAAAGAACCAGTGGCAAATAATAATCTGTAAAATATTTAAATGCCTGGAACTGTCAGTCTGAGCTACAGCTGTGGATGTAGATGTGAATGCAGCCTTAACTTTTCCTGTTATCATATTTTGTCTCCTCAGGCCACAAGAAGAGGAAAAAATCCCGCGAAGGAGAGAAAACACCAGAGGACATTTCAGAACAGCCTCTGGTGAAAACCTAGCAGCGTGTGTGTATGAAACAGACCCGAACACTCCATCATCTGATGGTTCTTCAAGTTGTTTGCAAAGACAAATGTGGTTGCTGAACTACAGCTATCAGAGTTTTATCTGAAAACAACACCCTCCGAACCCACTGTAGGAGATTATAAAGAGGTCCCATCTCCAGTAATGTACTGAACACGTGGATGGAAGACACCATCTTGTCAAAGTGCAGGGGTGTGCAGCATTGGCAATATGCATTAAACCGTAGTTTCTGATCTTAACAGGTTTTTCATGCTGATGCTCGTATATAAACAAATGACTGTGAATGTAAAAGATTTGTAGTAATAATAGGTTTTTATACACTATATACTCTCCTCATGCGATCACTTCTCCAATGGAGCTAAAGGGAATGACAGTAAAAAGGAAACAGACGGAAGACACCAAAGATGTTGCTGTTTTGTCACATAATCCTCCAAACTGCATCTCAACAGAAGTAAACTGGCTGCTTTGTGTTTGTCCTTTTTCTGTTTCAACATGACAATTGGCTTGAGCGCAAAGTCAGGCCCATAAGGAAATGTTTTATCCAGTTTGGCATGGAAGAACAGAGCCCTGTACTCAGAGCTTAAAAGAGCTAGAATACTGGAATTCATTCGCCAGATGGCCAGAAACACGACTCCAAATAAATGCTCTGTATCTACAGGATGTGTAAATAGGTAACTGTTTGCTAACAATTCACCTAATCAACTGACCATATGTCAGTGTTGCGTTCACATCCATTCCCTGCAGCCCCCAAGTGGCTAAAAAATCTGTTATTGCAGGTTTAAAAATATGCCTACCAGCAGCTTGTTTGTGTTGTCCAAACACACAAATAATAATGTAAAATAGACCTTAGCGTTGCTAACATGAGAGTGGTATCGATCTTCTCATCTAACTCTCTGCAAGAAAATGAAAACAAGTGTAATTCCCAAAATGTTGAACTGTCCCTTTAACTTTTTGTTACGTTTCCAAACTTCTCTCTGAACATCTCTGTAAGTAGCTTTGTTCTGCGGATTCAATGCATTTTGAATGATTTTGTTTTGCTAAATGATCACATAGTGTGGATGTTAGTGTCAGGAGGTCAAAAAATGTTTCAACACCTGTCTCATCACAGCTAATTACTGTATCTTCAAACCTTATTATTTAACAATGATCAGATTGGATTTTTACAGTGGTTCATCATAATTAATTGTTTATTTTGCTTTGTCTGCCACTTATCCAAAAACTACTGTCCTTCTTGTTTTTCTCCTGAGCTCTTCTTTTTCTTTATCTGAGCCTTTTCTTCTTTTTTTTTTTAAGAGTTGTAATTTGAATTGCATTTATATACCTCATAAAATTTTCATTTGTTTTGTTCCTTTTTTTGAATTTGGACCTCAGAAGGCTATCAGACTCAGACAAAAGACAGATTGGAGCTGCTTTTCTGCAAAGAGATTTGAGAAACCCTGGGTCAGCCTTTCATTTCAGTTTCTGTTTTATTCACCACGTGATTTATGACCACTGAACCTCGTTAAATAATCATCGCCTGAGCTGAGCTCTTTTTATTAGATCCATTTCAATTATAAATGAACCTCATTTTTTTGGCTTTACTTTATTGGAGATTAAATGAAACTGAGCTGAAGGCTGCAGCAAGTGTTCACCAAAACACAGTTATGTGTTCTATAAGATGCCTAGATAGTATACGTAAATAGGTTTATGAAGTCAGCAGTCAGCACCTATATTATCTAAACTGGAGACACATACCTCTGAAAGGCTCTATTGTAGTCTCTGAAATATACCTTCACTCGTCAGCGTCTCTATTTTACAATTTGTTTGATTTAATGATATTGATTTTCAGTATTTTTATCTCCACATTGACAACAGTAATGGGATTTCTGAAACATACTGCAAAAAAAATGTTGGTATAATTTGAGATGACTAATGTATCCAGTACAACTGTGGATGTTGGCTCACTGTCACACTGTCATGGTTTACTTGGACACTTGTCAAGTCACAAATCAAAATGTCTGCTGTGAAAAAGCTACATTGTCCAGCATGAGGAATTGGGACAGGGCCATTAGTTGATCACATACTCACCTGGCAGAGATACACTGAGCTCAAGATATATATTAGACTGTGGGTTATTAACATGTCTGCTTGTAGCATCTATTATCTCAAAAATGAATTAACTTATCCTGGATACATTCTCTCTTGAGGAATAATAGGGGGAACTTGACATTGTGTGGCTTTTATATTAGTGGCTGTTATCATATCACCTATTTGGAAATCAGAATTGACCTTTTTTTAAATCAACAGGTTACTATAAAACAAGTTGTGGAGAAGCAAATGTGTTGCTTTCTAAATTCTTACAGAACTTAAATCATGTAGATGGCAACATAGAAGAGCTGAAACAAGTCTTGGTTTGGTGGATTTAATTTTTCTTGCATCACAGAAACCTTCAGTTCCACCCCAGTGTGTGCATAGTGTTCTCACGGTGTCCCTGAGCCTGCAGTGTTCTGGATGGGCGTGACTCCATCTGCCTACTTGTGCAGAATCAGATTTGTGCCACTGCAGCATAGAGGAGGTGGAGGAGGAGGAAAGTGGGGATGTGGATAGAAGTCTGAAGTTTCAGGCCTGACCAATAAGGAGGCCGTTAATGGCCTTATAATAAAAAAGCCAATCAAAATAATCAATATAATTTAGGTTGCTGCCTGAACGTACTGCTGCAGCACAAACTGTGTTTTGGTGGGTCACCTGCATTGAAGAGCTGCATTTGTTTCATTGGAGGTTCAGAAGGTCTACATATGTCTGAATAGTTTTTGTGGGTTCCTTGGGAAACAGGCAAATACAATCATCAACTTTAAAAATCCTGAAAATTGCCATCAGCAGCCTCTCCCAGCAGTACTGGCTTTTAAAGACCCAAAAAGATCCATCGCAAGCTGGGGACAATGAAAAAGAAGGAGGGGTGCTTTTTAACTCCGCTCACTTGCTAATGTCACAGGCGGAGGAGAGAGAGGGAACATCCCTCCTGGCTGCAATATATCAAACCTGCTGAGTCACTTTGCTGCATTGGAGCACCGACCACAGCCTATCAACATCATCCTTTGAGGTCAAAGACAGACAAAAACTGTTCCTGCTGCAGGATGTTGTTGATTAGATTGTAGGTTTGACGGATACATTTCCCTGCTGCAGATCCATTAGATCTTTGGTTATCAGGATGTGTTCCTAAAGAGTCCGAGATCAGTTTTCACAATTTCTGCTATGAGCCAATATAATCGCAGATTGCTGCTTAGTAAAAATGTGCATTGCTTTCAGCTGTTTTGCTGTATTTTGTAATAGAATGACCTGCGTGGAAGAGATGTTTTGGGAGAGAATATAACAACTTGATACTTGTAAAATAGAAAGCAACTATGTATGGTATTTTGCATCAAAATATACACAGAAATATAAAGCTCCACAACATACTGAACTTCAACAGTCTCCAGTCTTTTATTATTATTTTATATTAAAGAGTAAGTCTGGAGATTCTATGTTTATCCTATTGTCAACAAATGCCCTACATCCACTACATTTCAGAAGGAAAGCGTTGCTTAAAGTAACGTTTGAAAACACCTACAGTGCTTTCTTTTGGTCTTTTCATGGGATTTAAGGGAAACCTCAAAATATAGAATATTTTGAGTCTTATGTAACTGTTAAAACTTAAATACTACTTCAAGAAAGTGCAAAACAAAGCTGGTGTTGCATGTTCAACACAATTATAAAGGACACAATGAACATCATAATCTTAATTTTCTTGTTTGTTTCTTCGCACGTTTGGAGACTATTGCTTTTATACATGTAGATATTTTAGATACTGTGCTGCATAGAAAAGGTTTTATGGGGAAAGAAAAAAAAAAAAAAAAAAACAAACAAACAGGCACAAAGCAAATATTTGGTTCTTGTGTTTTATAGTTTATTTCTGTAGGAACACACATACTGTTGTGTGTACAAACAACACCAAATAATAGGAGTGTTCTTGTGTGGCTAACAAGAGTCAGCCTCAGAGGTCTGATGAGAGAGGCTTTCTGTAACACAATAAGGGCACTGCAGGGTGGAAAGAAAACAACAAAGAGAGGCAAGGTGATTTTGTTCACTGATGGCACAAAGTCGCTTTCTGAACTTCAACTACCATTAGGATCTTCTACGTAGCTGCACAGGTATGACAAGGCAAAACCTACAACAACAGGCACGTGCATTACCTTTAAGTGAGCTTTAAACCCGGTCACGTGGCAGAGACAATAACTCAGAATGCCTCTCTGTAGATTTCACATAAGAAATATCCTTATGCACAATTTGTTACTTCATATAGGTGCTCAGTGCTTCTGCAGTAAATAGTAGGAGCTTCGAGAGTGATTACATCTATTGACATTAACAGCATTTTGTTTAATTCTACAGAAGTATCATATTTAATACCTTGAAATGCTATAAATGATTGACCTGTAATTGAATAAAAAAAAAACAAAAAAAACACTTCTGATTTTTTTTTTGTGACCCTAAATGCTTTGGATATCACGAAAACACCTTTGTGTATGAAGCTCTGTTGGACAGTGAGACCTGGCTGTGTGCCTTCAAGTGTCTTCCTAAAGTAATTGCACCTCCCAAAGGTTCAGAACAGAAAATCATCCGTCCTCTCATTGATTCAACTGCAAAATCCCCGCTGCAGTTCAAACAATCAGAGGTCTGGATAGGCAGGGGAGGGGTACAAGGGCACACACATGATGATACTTCCCGTGGCGCACAGGAGGCAGGAAATGGGCGGACAGGAGCATCCTTTACTGGACCTTAGTGACGGCATCGTGGATGGACTGAGCGACATAGTCGATGTTCTTGGTGGTCAGACCGCACATGTTGATGCGACCGCTGGCCATCAGGTACACGTGCTTCTCTTTGATCATGTACTCCACCTGTTTGGCTGTAAGACACATTACAACAGAGTGAAGATGAAGAACTGATGCTTAATGCTTTGTTACACTTTGGGAGTTTACTATAAAACAGCTATAAAACATTTCAGTTTCATTTTAAAGATGAAAATACTGAGATATTAATACATGGTAACAAAAACAGAGAAATTGGAAAGGGTAAGAAACATGAGCAGTCAGACCATCATAAATGTTTAAGTAAGTACAATGTTGGGAAACTGGCTTAAACCAGAACAATAATAACCCAGAGTTATCCTTTTTATCCTGTTTGTACATAAGAAAGAATTCCAACCAGACTTTGTCATGTTTGCACTTGATTAATGTTAATACTTTACTTTACTAACCTGTCTAATGTTAATATTCTACATGAGGACAACAGGATGGTCCATGGGTGTAATGGTAAAAGTGCTTATAAACAGTCTAGTGAATAAACTCCAGTGCAGTTGGTAGGGACTAGGGGTGTGACGAGACACGATACTGGGTTCCCGAGAAAGAGACAAGACAAGATTTTAACACTATTTTAAAGAAATTTTCAATTATATTAAAATTTGGAGCATTAGAACATTTAATTTCCTGCATTCTGGTGATTTTTTTGCACCAATTTCTGGTGGAAATGTTTGGATTTATGTACAGGGAAACAAAACTCAGGTTACAATGACAATTCAAAATATAACAGAATACAATGCAGTAAGGCTGTCAGGCATTCTGTGTTGCTTTCAGATATGTTTTCTCCTGCAGATCAGCTTTTCTCATTTAATATCATCCCTGCTGAGTCAACACACATGTAGGCATGGTTTAGTCTTCCCTCCTCTTTTGTGTCTTTTGTTTGAGAAAGTAACCTCTTTAAATGTGCATGTGGCCCCTTTTCACCTTCCTCGGAATTCTCTTCTCCCCACACAAGAGGCCTAGGCCTCAGTTAAACACACCGGCTTGCCCCGCCTCTCTCTCTGTCTCCCCCCTCGCCCGTATACTCCACTTTCTCCACCAGCAGTACGTTTTATAAAGTCGACAAAAAGACACAGAACTCGTCTTTTTCCACCCGCGATCCGTTATCACGGCAGCAGGTGAGCCGCTTGTGGGCTTGTTAATGACGCAGCCCATCAAACAACTGAAACCACCATCTGCACCCTGTGTGTTCACTGCTGCTTCAGCTGGTCCTTGCTCGTAAAGTGTCATTTCAACCGCGACTTGTAACGTCACCAGCTACCAAGTTTTTAACTGAGTAAAGTCTGTGTGAGTGAACACATGCGCAAAAGACGACCGCTATCACCCCGCGCGTGCCCCCGATGCCATCGTCCATCCCGAAGTTTCAATAGACATCATCTGATGGAAATTTTGTAGACATCGCCCAACCATAGTTCGCTCCGTAAGTCGACATTATCAGTCATATATTTGTTTTTCCACTTATGGGGTTGGTAACAGCATGTGCAAAATGTCAATTGAGTGAGTCACTCGATACTGCTTTTAACCCGATGAGAAATCTTGGCATGTTTTAATCTCGTCACACCCCTAGTAGGAACACTTCACCCCAGCAGATAATTGCTGACACAAACTAAGGGTGATGTCTTCATTCACTTAGCAACCCTTTTAATTCACAGGATTTCTGGATGTGCCTCTGTGTATGTGTACGTGAGCGAGAGAGACGCTTTTCACTTACGGTTCAGGCCGGTGAAGCTAAACATGCCGATTTGCTGGGTGATGTGTTCCCAGGTCCCCGGGGTGCCCAGACTCTGCAGCTTGGTCTTAAGCTGATCCCTCATCAACAGGACACGGTCTGCCATGGTCTTCACATTACCCTTCCTACAGAGAGGAGCGGAGAGAAGACAGAAACTTGTCTAAAGTTGACTCTTTAGCTGAGATACATTAAGTTCACCTTGATGTTCTCAAAGCCCTAATAGTTGCATGTACAGTACCTTTTCTCATTTGCTCATGTGCTAGATGGATAAATTACAGATATGCGACACTGCACAATGATGATGATTCAATTTACTCACAATAGAGTGTTAATTATTTGGGGAAAAGTGAATGATTCCAGACATGTTAACATTTAATATTAAGTATTTCAAATGCATACAATTAACATAATGTGGCAACACTTGGCAGCAAACGCAACTGCAGAAGTGAGTTAGCTAATACTAACTGGCTAATGCTGGAAATGTCAACAGCAGGAGCATACCATTCAGCGAAGAGCTCGGGGCTGTTGAGGGTCTTGCTGACGATGCGTGCTCCCTGAGACGGTGGGTTGGACCAAGTCGTCCTGACAATCTTCTCCATCTGAGACAGGATGCGGGTCAAGTTCTCGCTGTCCTGGGCAACCACGGTCAGGTTGCCAACTCTCTCATCTGATAACAGCAGATGTATGAGTGAGGTTTCTATTAACAATGTGCAAACTGTGTGCATGTATAAAATATTTTTGGGGGTTAACCCTATTTTTGGCCACCCAGGACTTCATAAAAAGGTGTGTGCAAGTCTTTAGGTGTGTGCATATCATGTGTACGCACTGTAGAGGCCGAAGTTTTTGGAGAAGGACTGAGCTACAAACAGCTCAAAACCCTCTGAGACAAAGAAGCGAATGGCCCAGGCATCTTTATCCAGACTGCCAGAGGCGAAACCCTGGTAAGCTGAGTCAAAGAACACAAACAAGTTCCTCCTCTATAGAAAAGGAGACAAAAAATTACAAAATATAACAAGGAACAACAGTAAAACATGAGAAAACACTTCTTCACAATGATGTAATACGCAGAACAACTTTGGCTACAGTACATGCTTTACTCAATGACAGAGCCTGAAAACAGAGACAAAATGTGTTAAAGGCATGCGACACCTCTAACACTGTTACATGTATATGAACACCGTCTTACCTTCATGATCTCTGCGATCTTCTTCCACTCCTCCTGGGTCGGGTCGGTGCCGGTGGGGTTGTGCGCACAGGCGTGGAGGACAAAGATGGAGTGTTCTGGAGCTTTCTGTTGAGAAAGAAAGAGTCAGATCAAATAAAATAACCATGTTGAAATATTAATCGTCTGAATGCTGTTTTCAGAGGCCTTTCAATGAATGATGCTCAAGTGGAGGTTTTGGTTAAATTATCAGTCTCTTTTAAAACCAGTCTACTTATAGTACAGTATTAACTGGAAGTTGTTAATCAGTAATATGTTACAAACATCACTAGCGTGTGCATCAATGTGATGTAAGAGGCAAACACAAGTAACGGGACAAAGTGAGATTTTTAGTCACATGTCACAGTCTAGTCATGCTGCCAATTTCCCTAAGAGTCTGTAACATCCATTAGTTAACCCAAAATGTAGCCAAAACAGCTACATTTTTGAGAGCTACAATTTTTTTAACCTAATAGTGGCCTTTTCCCTCCATTTCAGCCTTGGAAGCAACCAGAAATTCCACATTATATTTCTACCATTCTTGTTTCATTTATAGTTACAGAATACCTACAAGTGTTCAAAAAGTTTTATATGATTACCCGTTACCTAAACTTTTTATAAACAGGGATAATTAGATGGTACGCGGTGATTTTTTTTGTTGCGTCATTGCGACGTGGAAATGCACGCCCTTCCTCACCTCCAGGTCATCCACGAGCCCGGAGAAGTCTAGGCCCCTATTAGCAGCATCCCAGTAGTGGTAGGGACGGATGTCTTTGAAACCAGCGTCAGCAAACACAGCATTGTGGTTCTCTGGGAGGAAGAAGAACATCCAGCAGATGTTTAAAACATTCACACATCTCAAATCAAATATGAAATGGGCTGTGAGCCTTATTACTAATGTCCATTCTTCAAGAACAGTATAAACTTAAGGCAACGTTACATTACTGAAGATTTCACATTTCAGGCTGCAGCAAATGTTCTAAGACATTTGAGAATGTAGAGCACTTGATTTCCATATTACAGTAGTACCCTGTTACTTGCTATTCAGCTGTTTACTAACCCCACGTGGGCGCTGAGACGTAGACGGGCGTGGCTGTGTTGTTGACGCCGTTGTACCAACGCCGCAGGAACTCTGCCCCGATCCTCAAGGCACCTGTGCCACCCAGAGACTGGACCCCTCCCACCTGAGAGAGAAGGCAGCAGGAGGGAAACAGGAAGAATATGAAAAGAATAAAGATGGTAAAAATGGTTAAACATTTGCTAAATGAAACAATTCAGGAATGTAAAAAATAATTTAAACCATTGGTTAAATTTTAATGAGATTTATTCTTTAAAATATTAAAATGAATGACATATCACAGATTATAAAAGCCCAGGATACAATCGCTGTAATCTGTTCTGTACTGATCACACACACAAACCAAATGGATATTGATCTTCTCATCAGACTCTGGTTATGAAGGTAAACAAGCATATTTCCCAAAATGTTGGAGTGTTTCTTTAAGATTTATTTTAAAATGGTTACTGTTGTAATTGAGGGGGTGCATACACTGTTGACTGTACACATGCAGCCTCAACAGCTTAGTCTGACTTAAATGTTGACCCGGTTTAGGACAATGTTCAAATAAGCGTCTCACCCTGTTTTCCTTGATAGCGGGGCTGTC